CCACCTAACATACACTAAGTAGTATATGCAAAGTGTTTAGAACAGAATAAGCCGCTAAACATGTTGCTTCTCACCATTTTTTCTTGTTGTCCTTGAAAAACTGCATAAAATAGGGCCTCTGCTTATCCAGATTCCGTCACTAAGGTAACCAAGGCTCAGAGTAGCATTGGCAACATGCTAGGCCCGTGCTAGCCTAGGCCCATCCCCCAGGGATTCTGATGTAACGGGTCAGGGCTGGCTGGTTGTTGATATTTATCAAAAGGTCCTGGGTGACGATAATGGGTAATTAATTGGAGTGGGGGATCACCGACACAAAGTGGCACGGCCAGGTTCGCTGCTGTGAACTGTTTCCCCACAATACTGCTGCACCGCACAATAATAACCTTATACTGTGTGGCAGCCAGCACGAACAAGGAAGAGGTGAAGTAGTTTCACCCAGCTCCACTGTGGTGGCCGGGGCGGGGGGGGCGGGTTTGGCACCGCATCAAATACATGAGACCAGACTGACTCCTGGGTGAGAATATTAAATACCAAAGAATCAGCTGATTGTTGCAGGTGGATGGGCCCCAGCCAGCACAATGTGCCTTGGAGCTGAAAGCAGGTGTCCCAAACCCACCTGATCATAGCCATGACGTGGGGCTTCGTTTAAAGACAGATTCCTGGGGCACCTGGGTGGCTTAGTCGGTTAAGCGTCCGACTTTCGCTTAGGTCTTGATCTCGCGGTTCGTGGGTTCGAGCCCCGCGTCGGGCTCTGTGCTGACTGCCAGCTCAGAGCCTGGAGCCTGTCTCAGAGTCTGTGACTCCATCTCTCTCTGACCCTCCCCTGCTCACGCTGTCTCTCTCTCTCTCCTAGAAATAAATAAAAACATTTAAAAAATTTTTTTTAAATAAAAACAAATTAAAAATAAAAAAAGACAGATTTCTGATTTTACCCAAATCTCCTGATACCCACTCTAGGGAAGGAGCCCGAAGTCAGTGTTTTTAACGCACACTGTGAGGTGCTTATGGTGGTAAGTTGGGGAAGCAACAAGCCTTTGGGGTCCCTGCCCAGGAAGGGAGTCTGGGGTCATTCATGATGCCCCATGTGACCCTGGCGGCATGTGTATCCGAGCTGCCCACCCCCACACTTTGGATGCCTCATTTAACAGATACTAATATCACAAAGGCTCTGTCACATCTGTGAAAATCTGCTACCGAAAGCGACAGTTTCTAAACTTTCGGATTTCCCAGACTACACAGTTTCAAAAAAGTAATCCAGGGGATGACATAGAGCCTAATTTTTATTTTGCCACCCAAGGACATTTAACACCCACCATAACAGCAATACTGTAGTAACTTTGTCCCCTCTTAAATACATACCACCCACCTCTGCCCACAAAAAGGGCAACGCTCACCTCACGGGAGACTCACTGCATCTTACTTTTTCTGTTTCACTGCAGGGTGGTCCATCCCCATCTCTGGACCACCGTGGAGGGAACTCCCTCAGTTAATCAGTTTACCTGATTCCTCCTGGGCACCTGTTGCACACCAGGTGAGCGCTTGCCAGAGAATGGTGAGCGTGACCACATGGTTCCTACTCTCTGGGAGCAAACAGCATGGCCCAGGCAGGGCTCCTATGGGAGCAAATGCTGGCAAAGGGCAAGCGTGGGCTCCAGGGCAGCAGAAAGTAGGGATGAAAGCAAACCCAGATTTGGTTATCAAGACAGATTTCCAGGGGTAAGCAACTTCCAGGCAGACTTGAGTCTCATGAGCAGAGGAATGAAGGGAATAATATTCTGGACAAGAGGGCAGCTCCAAGTAGCTCAAAGCAGAAAGAGGGAGCATGAGACTTCTTCTTAGGACTAGAATGGCCAAGAAGAACAGGGTATGAAGCCAGCATTAAATAATGGGAGCACATTAAGAGGTTTGAATTAAACATCATGGGAATCCAGGAAATGCAGGTAAGCAAGAGAATGACCCCAGTCGATTCTCAGTTTACTACTTTTTTTAAAAATGTTTTATTTATTTTTAGGAGAGAGAGAGACAGTGTGAGCAGGGGAGGGTCAGAGAGAGAGGGAGTCACAGACTGAAACAGGCTCCATGCTCTGAGCTGGCAGTCAGCACAGAGCCCGACGCGGGGCTCGAACCCACGAACCGCGAGATCGTGACCCAAGCGAAAGTCGGACGCTTAACCAACTAAGCCACCCAGGCGCCCCTTATTACTTTTTTTTCTTTCATAGTTTATTGTCAAGTTGGATTCCATATTACACCCAGTGCTCCTCCCAACAAGTGCATGGAGGAGGGCACTTGTTCGATTCTCAGTTTAGAAAGGACACTTTGGAAACTGTTGCCTTTGGCTGGGGTTCTAGGCAGCTGCTAATCTTCTGTCGTGTTGAAGACCACATGGTTCCTGTGTTAATCCTGTGTCACTTTCCCTCTCATTTCCTCCACTCTGTCCACACCTGATTAGCATCCTGATTAGAACCTTTCAGGAAATCCAAATGTACATTGCAGATGTAAATTCCAGACCTGACTGTTTCTCACATGTTGTTTCTCTAATAAACACTCAAGTTTTCTGTTCCCGTCTTGTGCGGATCAACCTCTCACTTGATTTGCTGTCTATGGAATATGAATGTTCTCAGTTGTGGTTAATCGCTCATGTAACTTTTTCTGTTTTCTTGATGCATGCTGCTTCTGCCTTACTCTCCTCAACTCCTCCACTGCCTTGACTTCCACAGCCAGAAAATGTAGTCTTGACCCTGAAGGTAAAGTCCTCGTTTGCTGTTTCTTGTGTTTCTAAAGCCCAGGGGCACGGGATGCGTCTGCTAGAACTTTCTGTTGTTCCACTGTCATCTCCGTTGTGATGGTTTTTTTAAATGGCTTGTTTCATTTCTGTGTACGAAATCATCATCAGTCTTCTCTTTCAGTTTTAGTACTTCACCTAACAATAGCGACCCACCTCAGCAAATTTCAATCTTGACCTTCTCTCGTAATCCACAAAGCATTCTGGCGATCCTGGTGTATCACAAACTCAGTTAGGTCTTTGCCAGACCTTGGCCAGACTTTAGCCCAGAAGCGAACTCTTGAAATGACGTGTCTTATTCCTGATACTGTTTGACATTATACTGAGTCAGTAATGTTGGAAAGGTTGTGTATAAAGTGTGAAATTTGTACTTGGATCTAGACATAGTGCATTTAGAACATTTCAAAACCCCTTCTATCCTGCGTTTGAGGTCAGTATCTCCTGGATTCGGAAAGGATTTTCAGTCCCTTTAAAAATACTAAATAATTTAGATCATTTACTGGGAAATGATAGGAAACTAGAGAAATAAGAGTTTAGAGTATCACAATTGGCCGATGATACGGTCCCTCAAGGGCAGGTTGCAAGCATCAGTAAGTAATGACTCTCTGTGGCCATGAGTTAGGGCTGAGTTTAAGCAGGAACATGTACTTGATGAGTGCAGCAAACTTCAAACACTTTTATTTTTTTAGCATTTTATCCTTAATCTCAAAGTAGATAATATCAGGTGCCGTGTGCACTTCAGTACTCTTAAGCATTTATCCACAGACTTAACTAATATTGATTGAATATTTGCTGTGTGCTGAGTACTTGGCTGGCTGTTTTCACATTAAATCGTTTAATGTTCTGACCCTCACAATGTGCTTATGACATTAATGCTAATTCCGGTTTAGGGAAGAAGCCCCCTATGTAATTTAAAGCAGGTCTTCTGACTCTCAGTTCAGTGCTAAGACCTCACATTCATTTCTAGGAACAACACTTGTGCTTTGTTTTACTTCGCTCAGCTTGGCTTCAGTCTGTTGTTAGCTAGCTGGTCCATTAGTTGTAAACAGCCAGACTGTAATTGTCATTCTTTAAAAAATGTCTTGCTTTATGGAAACATGAGTAACTGTATACATGAATTGGAATAAGCCCAAGTTTTGTCATCTGGTTGCATTAACTTTTTTTTTTTATCCCAGAATAAAGCCAGCAGTGATTATCAAAATATATTAAGGTCACATGATTGTATCTAGAAGCCGTGCTGGTTCCTAGGAACGCAGGGAACTGTCTGAGACACGGGCTGACAAGCCCAGCCTCACCCACACGGCATGAAACAACCATTTATTAAGTGTCTGCTGTGGCCACATACTTCCCCTGACACATTATCACTGATCAGACATTATCTGTAATGTTCACAATGACCTTACATGGTATATATTATTACTCCCAGCATATGGATAGAGAAAACAAAGTGAGTGCCTGGTGATTAACATGTCTGACTCAGAAAGTCTGAGCCTTTTTTCTTAAATTTAGATATATTCCAGATTCTTTTGTAACTATGAGTTTGTCATTAATTGATCCGATCTGAACTACTTTGAATCCTTCATAACTTCTACTGGTCCTATCTTCCTGGTGAAAAGCATCCTTTCCTGTAGATTATTCATAATGTAAGTATTTCTGCCATAATTTGTTGCACCATTTAAAAACAAGCAAAATACTCTTGGGGTTTAAAGTAAGCCATTTGCAACTTGACCCTGCATCTGGACATTTTACTGTGGGTTGAAAGAAGATAGTAATGGCTTGGTTCCATATTCTGACAACTCCAATCTCTGTTACTTCTTTAAAAAAATTTTTGTTTAATGTTTATTTTTGAGAGAGAGAGAGAGAGACAGAGCATGAACAGGGGAGGGGCAGAGAGAGAGAGAATCCAAAGCAGGCTCCAGGCTCTGGGCTGTCAGCACAGAGCCCGACGTGGGGCTTAAACTCACAAACTGTGAGATCGTTACCTGAGCCAAAGTCAGACGCCTAACTGCTTAACCGACTGAGCCACCCAGGCGCCCTTCTGTTACTTCTGTTTCTAGAAGGAGCATCAAGATGGAAATGCACACACACAAACACACACACATTAAGATTCAACTCATGGTGGCAAATAGGTTAAAAAAAATAAAACAAGTACATTGTGGAATGTTCTACCTGTTATTTTGTGTTAGAGGACATGCTGTTTCTTTTGTTTGACTTGCAGATTATCTACTATGAAATCGGGGTCATCATCTGTGCTGTCCTGGGACTGCTCTTTGTCATTCTGATGCCTCTGGTAGGGTTCTGCTTTGGTCTGTGCCGTTGCTGTAACAGGTGCGGTGGAGAGATGCACCAGCGTCAGAAGAAGAATGGGCCCTTCCTGAGGAAGTGCTTCGCGGTCTCCCTCTTGGTGATTTCTCTATTTATAAGGTGAGTAGAACCTTGGAGAACAGCTGATTGTGTTAGGGGTTGCTTGAACTGTTCAGCCCAGGCATTTAAAGCAAAACAACCACACTACTACAACACCCCCATAAAACAGAAGAGGACGAAAATGTTTGTCTGGGGTGCTTCAAAACAATGCCACCGTAACCAGAAGTTAGGGCTGGCCTCAGGGAGCCAAGCCAACCCTTTGGGGCTTGCTCGTGTCGAAGACAAGCTGATAAATCTTGGCCTGCAGAAATCATCGACCCCCAAGAACAGCTCTTTCCTTTTTAAAAAATTTCTTTAATGTTTATTTATTTTTGAGAGACAGATAGAGCATGAACAGGGGTGGGGCAGAGAGAGAGGGAGATACAGAATCCGAAGCAGGCTCCAGGCTCTGAGCTGTCAGCACGGAGCCCAGTGCGCGCTCCAACTCACAAACCATGAGACCATGACCTGAGCTGAAGTCGGACGCTCAACTGACTGAGCCACCCAGGCACCCCAGGAGCTCCTTCCTTAAATAGCTGTTTGGAGACAGGCGGCCTGCAGAAGGCAGAGCATTTGGTTGTTGTTTTGTGCATTCAAAGGGATCCTGAAGGATGCGTATAGTCCCTGACTCGGGGAATGTGAGAACACTGTGGAACAGAATTCGCTTTCTAATAATAAACCCAGCTTTCCTGAATTTGCAGTTAAGCTGCTACCCTGTGCGGAGGCCTGGAACACACTTCATGATTTAGGATGTGTTTCTTCTACACTCCCTTCTGCTGCCATAGGCTTTCCAACTGCCTGACAGACCAGGAAGACACTGCTCTTAAGACAGGATTTCGCCGAGTTCAGATCAGAATCCTTGGCTAAGGAATGTGCTTCACGTTAGGGGCCCCCTGGTCACGATATTTGGTCATGGTTCCACGTTTCCTCATTCATTCAGCCAGTGAACATCATGGCATTTGGCGATCGAAGTAAAGCGCTTATGACGTGAATAGTGCTAGGCCCCAAGGAGGCACTGAGACCGTGGGGACTGGCAGTCAGCTTCCTCCTCCCTGTTTTCTCCAAGCACTGCATTCACTCAATAGCTGTAAGGTTTTTCCAGTTTCACTAAATAACTGATATTCGGGAATTTAAGCAGAAAGAATAATTAGACAGAACAATTTAAGCTGGCCTACAAGCTGAAGTTTTAGATGGAAATCCAAGAAGAAGTTCTTCAAGTGTGGCCATTAGTGGGGTCCCGGTAAGACATACGTTTGGAGGTGATCATTCATTGGAAGGCAGTACACCTAGGGATGCCTGGGTGGCTCAGGTGGTTAAGCGTCAGACTTTGGCTCAGGTTATGGTCTCATGGTTCGTGGGTTCGAGTCCTGCATCAGGTTCCATGCTGACAGCGCAGGGCTTGCTTGGGATTCTCTCTTGCTATCTCTTCCCCTCTCACTCTGCCCCTCCCCCACTCATGCTATCTCTTTCAAAATAAGTAAATAAACTTAAAAAAAAAAAAAAAGGAAGGCAGTATACCTATTGGAAGGGACTGGACAGCTCTCGATGTGTTGATATGAAACAGTCCCCAAGAGAGATGAATTGACGGAGCAGCTTGCAGACCATGTATATATACAACATGGCGCCCCTGACGAAAACAAAGGAGGAGAGAGACACAAACACTTGGTTATGTTTACACAGAGCATCTGTAGTAAGCTTGCCAAGACCCTGACATGGTGGTTGCCCCTGGGAAAGAACTTTGGTAGTTGTGGAGAGTAGGAAGGAAATCACTGCTCATGGCATGTACATATTTTTTGTCTCTTTTGAATTATCTACCATGCCGCAAGTATTACCCTACTGACTTGACTGCACCAAAAATTAAACTCGAACAACCAAAAAATCCAAAAAAGCAAAAGCCGGTGCATTACCACTGACTCCAGGGCAGTCATTTTTTTTGGAACAAAGATACACTTTTGCTGCGAATAGTTAAATAATAGAACTTAACAGTATACGTGCAAACAGGACCCAAGTGAATGTGTTGCTAATTTCATGTACCCTTGTTTGACCACCAGGGAGTTAATTTTATTTTCTCTTCTCTGTCTCTCTGTCTGTCTCCCCAGTTCTATCTGTAAACATAGTTTGTTTTTGCACACTGAATTCTGAAGAGCAGCTTGAGATCAGGTCGATGGTGATTTCAGACACTCCTGTCTCTGCTTTGTGTTTGAAGTCTTTTCAGGAATGCAGGGACCTTACAGCTGTGGGAGTGGTTACCTCCTCCCCAACTACCAGGAAAGTGTTAGTTGCAGTCCAAAGAGATGTCAGATCCAGCAGAGATCACTGTGCATTTATTTTAAGCCCAAGAATTCCATCTTTCATTCATCCAGAGACTTGGACAGCCATGCTGCTCCCTCTGTAGGGGCTTACCCTGAATATCCAAGATGATGCTCAAGTGACAGTGTAATCTGAAAATATTCACCCTTTGGACTTCTTGGTCACGTGATTACTTAATAGTTAATAGTTTTCACTTGATATAAAGACATGTGATATAATTTCAGGAAAATTCTTTGTTGCCTGTAGTTAGCATATGTAATAATGGGCTTCCCAATTTTCTTTTGAATGAAGCACATATTCTATATTGGGTTTCTATTTTTATTTTTGTTTTTTCAATTTAAAAACAAGTTAGTTAACATATACTGTACTGATGGTTTCAGGAGTAGAATTTAGTGATTTGTCACTTACATATAACACACAGTGCTCATCTTAACAAGTGCCCCCCTTAGTGCCCATCGCCCATTTAACCGATCCCCCCCCAACTGCCCTCCAGCAACACTCAGTTTGTTCTCTGTGTTTAAGAGTCTCTTATGGTTTGCTTCCCCCTCTGTTTTTCTTATTTTTCCTTCCCTGGGTTTCTGTTTTTAAATTGGGCTTTTATTTACATTAATGTATAATTATGTGTCATATATGTTATACATCCCCCGGAACTGTTTGAATTATTTATATTATGTTTAAAATACCAAAATATACTAAAGAATAAAGCTATAAAGTTGGAAATAAACTCAACTTTCATTTATATGAGAAATGAACACTACAGTTTTTTTTCAGAACTCAGATCCATCAAACAAATTTAGATAAGTTTTTTTTCTCCCAAAGATATTTTAGTTTAGAAGATTCTTTTAAAAAACACATGCTGTGATTCTACAGCCTCCTGTGCATTCAGTTTAGATATTTTTCCCCACTCAAGTAAAACTGATTAAGTTAAAAACTATAACCTCAAATTTCAGTATAATTAAAACAAAATTGATCACCTAATTTGAGGCCAAGTGACAAATTTAAAACAAATTTTACATAATACACTGAATTTACATATGACTTATAAGACAGTTCTAAAAAAGAGTAGTATTTGAGATTATTTAGTTTGCCTTAAATTCACACTAGAAGTTGAATTTCTTCTTGGTTGGAAATTTAAAATTTAGAATTGCTCTGAAACCTCTGTTGGCTTGCAAATATTTTCAACATCATGAGTCAAATACTAGCTGTATATTCTTTGCTAAGTGATCAGAACTAGCCAAAGAGATTAAAGACCAAGAGAAAGTGAAGATTTCTGTTACAATTAGATAGAAAGGAGAAAAAGAGTATGTCCACAAAATCACATTAGATAAAAATAAGTGGGAAAAGAATGTCAATAAAGCTAGGAGGCAGAAAGAGAAGGAAAAGGAGATATTTGCTTCTGGCTTTCAATGACCTCAAGAGACTGGATCTTGTTGATAAATAATCTTTGGACATGATTTTTTAACATGTTTTATTATTTTTTATTTTTTAGATATGATTTTTTGTAAACCCAGAGCAGTCTACTTGCCTTTTATCAGGCTCAATTTCATTTTGTGACATTATACTACATCACAATTAATACTGACATTGTTTTTTAAATTTTTCTTGAGTCCTCTTATTTTTCATCCATCCTTTTTTTTAATTGAAAACAAATTAAATCTTTTTGTTTTAACTGAGAAAGACATAGGTGTTAAGAAGAAAGGTCCCCTAGTACATATGGAATATATGTGGTCATGGTCTCTCTCTGAGCTTTCTCAAAGGCAGCTGTGGAATGTTAGAATTCACAGACGTTGACATATGTTTATGTAAGTCTGTTTGACCATCAGCAGAAGATTGAATTTCCACCTCTCACTGTAGACTGTTTAAGCAGATGTGTCTTACTCCAGAAAAAGCCAAGTTTCCTCTCCCTTCTTTCTTTTGCACTTTGTCATCGCTGCATTTTTCAGAATTCCAAAAGGTTATGGACAATAACGAAAAAGGAACAAAGAGCCGTACTTATTTTTCCAGTATATTTCTAAGTTTCTGAGTACAGCAAATCAGCTTTTGCCAACTGCCATGGTGAAAATTGAATTCTAGTCTCTTTCAGGAAGATGGCTATTTTCAAAATCCTTTTCTTTTTAAATTGGGATTGTGATGGTCAGTTCCTGGCTTGGAGGCCACAAGATTCTAAAAAAGAAACAGAGCTAGCATGCTTGAAAATCATGAGACTTTCTTAATGTGAATGAGAGAGTCATTTAAAATTAAATTTAAAAAACTATCTAAAAAATAGGAGTTCAGTTATAGACTAAAAGCATTTATTAGGCCATTTTTGGCTAACTTCATCAAGTCAGTGGAAACCGGTGGAAAATTGCTACAAGTTTTAAATTTTAAAGGGGCATCCTTAGTTTTTAAAACCTTTAAGTATTCACTTTCAAGTATATATGTCAGAAGATTGGTCTATTCATAATAAAGTATAGAATATGTAATATTAATATGCCATAAAAATTAAGATTCCTATCTCTGGCTAAAAAATTCAAGAGATTTTGTTGTACTGCGGAAAAGCGTATGTTCTTAATATTTATTTTATGTCAAATTCCAGATTCCTGAGAGTCATTGAAATTTTATTTCCTTTGTGTGCGAGGCAATTCCCTCAGTGTTCTCCTATTCTAATAGTTGGCTGACAGTTGTTTTAAAAAAAACATTTATGTGATTTTTTTCTACTTAAAAAATATATTGAGGGGACACCTGGATGACTCAGTCGGTGAGTGTCCGACTCTCAATTTCAGCTCGGATCATGAGCCCAGGATCATAGAATCAAGCCTCAAATCGGGGTCCAAGCTGAGCATAGAGCTTGCTAAGATTCTCTCTCTCTCTCTCTCTCTCTCTCTCTCTCTCTCTCTCAATCTTCCTCTACCCTTCCCTACTCACACACGTGCACTCTCTCAAAAGAGAACAATACACAAAAAAAGAAAACAAAATATATTGAGTAATGAGGACTTTCTAAATCAAGAGCAACAAGAGCATAACTTCTTTACTATTTGTGATAAATAGGAGTTTTATTTCTTTTATTTTTTTATAGTTTATTGTCAAGTTGGTTTCCATATATCACCCATTGCTCATCTCAACAAGTGCCCTCCTCCATGCCCATCATCCATTTTCCCCTCTCCCCCACCCCCCATCAGTCCTCGGTTTGTTCTCAGTATTTAAGAGTGTCTTATGGTTTGCTTCCCTCCCTCTCCTTAACTATTTTTTCCCCTTCCCCTCTCCTATAGTCCTCTGTTAAGTTTCTCCTGTTCCACATATCAGTGAAAACATATGGTTTCTGTCTTTCTCTGCCTGACTTATTTCACTTAGCATAACACCCTCGAGTTCCATCCCCGTGGCTACAAATGGCCAGATTTCATTCTTTCTCATTGCCATGTAGTATTCTTAAATAAGAGTTTTAAATTAGAGATTGCAAACGGAGACTATCAGTTGGTCTGCTTAGTATTTAGAGTTTTATTCCTCTAGTTAGTAGGTAAAATTTTATTTTTTAATAGTCTTTTTATTCATTTTGAGAGAGACAGAGAAATCGCAAGTGGAGGAGGGGCAGAGAGAGAGGGAGAGAGAGAGAATCCAAAGCAGGCCCCATGCTGTCAGTGCAGAGCCCCACTCAGGTCTCAAACTCATGAACTGTGAGATCATGACTTAGGTGGAAACCAAGAGTCAGACGTTTACCTGACTGAGCAACCCAGGCGTCCTTTAGTTGGTATTATTTTAAAGGGGGAAATTTTACGTAATAATCCAGATTTCCAGACTTTTTGAATGAGTGGAAAGTCTGGCAGTGCAGAGCATCTGTCCTCACCCATATCTGCACCGCCCCCCCCTTCCACGCCTAGCAGTTCATATCATACATTTTGCCCTTCGTGCTTTCTGCCGGTCTGTGTAGGCATTTGAATTTGCCATCCTTAATATAAGATTTACAATGTGTTATAGGTCTGAAAATCTGCTCTGAAAGTTGCTGAATTTTATTCAAGCTGTAAGACAGTTTGTTTGTTTTTTAAAGATCAATGCTTTCATTTTAATTGGATCCATAATTGATTGGCAGAAATGTGGGACTTTTTAAGTATGTCCCATTGAAATTCAGTATTGAATTGCAAAGTTGCATTGCATTTCATTTTACTGATTGATGGTCTTTTGAGTAAAGGCGTTTATTCAGTAAAGGAACACAGTTTATGACTAAGAGACTCAAAACATATGGCTAATCTTCTAAATGGATCAAGTGAAACAAAGCCCAGTCTTTAAACCCATTTTCACTGAGCTAGAGACCCACCATTCACCCAAAGTTGACAAAGAAGCAGTTCCCACCTCTTTCTAGGGAAATTAAATACAGGTAGAAATAAGGGCAAAATAGAGTATGAGGTGAGAAAAGCCCCACCAGCATTTCAGGGAGAGAGCTCTGGGAGTTCAAGAAGATTCTTCTTCTATCCAAGGGGTTCAGTGAAAGCCAACTGGACTTGGACCTGTGGTTTATTTCTCAAGTTTATTACGCCTTCTTTTATAAGAAAATCAGTCTGGAGCATGATGAATGACAATGTGGACATTCCAGGGTAGAGAGAGCAAGGGGCCCCCAGCATGAAATGCTGGGATGGGCAAGTGTATTCAGGTGGTGGCCCCTGACTCTTCATGAGATGGAATGTTTGAAATTGGACATGGTAGATAAAGATCCAGGGACATTGTTACAACTCCTTTTTTTCTTTCTTTTTCTGTCCACACTACTCCAGAGTCCTTGCATTGGGTCATTTGACCTCATTTGGCGTGAGTGCATCATTTAATAACTATTAATTGTATGCTATATTGCCTGCCTCATAAATACCAAGGCCAACTTAAGACGGGCAAAGATGGATTGCTTGTAAGGTGATCGTTACAAATGGCACAGACTAGTGTTGGTGGTACACTGGTTAGCATAGTTGCCTTCCAAATGGTGCATACTATTGCTAATATCCATTTTTTGAAATTACCATCAGCATGAACCCAAACCTTAAAAATGTCTTAGAGGACTTGTAGGCATCCACTACCCCTCTCCTTTGCGGTAAGAGAAGCACTTATTCCATTTAATTTTCAGTTTTGCAATACCAGCTGAGGCTCAGAGAAGGAAAGTGACTTTCTCAAGCTTCCACAGTGTGAGTTAGTGGCAACAGTGGGACCAGAACCCAAGTCTCATGTTCCTACTCTAGTACACATTCCATGGCCACTTGTTAACCATAAGAAATATTATTGAACTTTGTGTATTATTACAGATTTTTTTGGATTCGTTTGGGAAATGCAATGTACCTGTGTAATACTGCTCAGGGAAATATGTTTTAAGTGAGCCCAGCAATGAGCCAATGCTGTTTGGAATGAATTGTAGCTATAGAGTGAATGACTACCCCCATTTCTCAAGACTGAGAATTTGCCTGAGAACAAGGGACTCTGGGTGCAAAAGCAGGCACTTGGCCACAAAGTTTGCCTGTTATTTGCAAAACTTTGGTCGAGAAACATATCCACACCTTCCATTGGATGGTTACAAACAAAAGATTTTGTTGTCCATTTCTGTAGGTTGAATAGGTTGAGTTAGGAGTTTATATAATTCCTTGCTGCCATCTAGTGGCTAAATCCAGAATGGCCTTAGTAATTCCCAATTCTTGATGTAACATTCTAATGTTGGAAGGCTTTGACCCAAAAACCAGATGGTCAAATTAACTTAAGTCAGGGGATTGTTAGTAACTAGTTAGCATTAAGAGCCCTTAATTGATTAAACGCAGACATTTTAGATGACTTGAAAACTCTGTTTTTAGTTTTCATATAGAATAGCTGTCCATGCACGATACCTTTCATAGTGTTTTTGAAGTCTATTTTACCTAGACTGGAGCATTCGTATCCTACGCACATAGGCATCAGCTTCCGTGTTGTGAGTGCCCGGATGACGTCATTAGCCACCCCCCCTCGAATAGAACCACTGAGTTTTAGGCCATCATTTTCCTGATGTTGTACATTATATAAAATAGAACAATACAGTATGTATGCTTTGTTTACAGCTTCTCATGGGGCATTTTAATACTAAAGTAACTTATGTTTCATTTCAACCTGTACGATAAAACTAATAGAGACAATTAGAGACACCAAAAACACGAGAAAGCCCAAACCATTCTTATCATTTTGGTATTCTTCCTGATCGTCTTCTTTGGAGGGAGCAGAGGTATGCATGGGAGGTCTTTATGTGCGCGCTGCGCAGGAGGATGTACCGCCTTATCCACATGTGTACGGGAAGGGCCGCCATATTCACATGTGTGCAGGGATAGGACTGTGTGATGCCCGCTGCCCTATAACTTGTGTTCCTTCTGTTTCCTCCATGATTTCTTGGGAATATTGTCCCATTTATAAGATTTCATATTCAGTAGGACAACATATTTTAAATGGGTACGTGTCTCCTCCAAGTCGACTGAGTCCTGTTTTGCGGCCCACAGGTTGGATTAAGGGATCGTGGCAAGAAGGCCATAGCAGGGGAAGAGGGCCTGGTGGGGAGGAGGGTCCCGCCGTCCTGGGGCCTCTGCTCAGAAGCCCTTCTCCCCTCCCGTCTATAGAGCTGCTCTGTGCCTGGCCAGGTGACCACAGGTCACACAGTGAAAGAGAATGAATTCTCTTCTCCATTTCTTGCAGCCTTGGCATCATCTATGGTTTTGTGGCAAATCACCACCTGAGGACCCAGATCGAAAAGACTCGGAAACTGGCAGACAGCAACTTCAAAGACTTGAGAACTCTCCTGAGCGGAGCCCCAGCGGTAAAAACCACAGCTGTATATCCCGTGATGCTTTGTATATGGGCCTCTCGCAGTCCCTGTATGTGTTTGGGATCCCCTTTGGGCATCCAGAGACCCAGTAATTCAGCGTGGACAAGCGCTAGCTTTTAATTTTATAGATGAAGAAATAAAGGCCCAGCGAGTGATTTTCTAAAGAGTATAAAAGCATAATTTCAGAACTGGTGTCATTATTTTATTATTTTACTTATCTTACTTTATTCTAAGGCATAACAGGGGCACCGGCGTGGCTCAGTCGGTTAAGCGTCCAACTCTTGGTTTTGGCTGAGGTTGTGATCTCATGATTTTGTGGGTTCCAGCCCCACATTGGGCTCTGTGCTGACAGTGCGGATGTTTCTTGGGATTCTCTCTCGCCCTCTCTCTCTACCCCTCTCCTACTCATGCTGTCTCTCTCTCTCCCAAAATAAATAAACTTTTAAAAAAATGTTTTATTATTTTAAGGTATAACATAAGATTACAGTACTTATTATAAAACTGCTTAACTATCTAAGGGTCTCATGACTTTTTAAAAAAGAAAAATCTTCGCGCGCCATTGTCCTCTCCCCTTGGCAATACCTGCCGTTTGTGTGCAGTTACTCTTGTTATGCAGCTTTTCTGCTTTATAAACACCCATGTGCTAATACCTGTATAGGCATGTAGAATTCCTCGGCAAGGGGACAATGAGAGACATGCGTGCACACTCAGAAGTTGTTTTGGGGGGAAGGGGAATAGGATGGCTGGAGGGCACATTTTTTTACATATCCCAGAAGCATGTTAATGTCTTACCTGTACAAAATATGGTTTTTAAACATATCTGAGCAGAGAGCAGCCTATTAAATAATTGATGCTGAGCTCATAGGTACCAGAATGTGCAGAAAGATGCCTTCCTGTTGAATTCACTAATCAGAGCCCACCAGGATCCATGGGCCTTTTCACACAGAGACGTGCTCTTCTAAGTTTATTATATCCAAAACAATACTAACTCTTAAATATTGTACCAGTTTTTTAAAATGTGTTTGGAACTAGGGGCGCCTGGCTGGCTCAGTTAGTTAAGCGTCCGACTTCAGCTCAGGTCATGATCTCATGGTTCTTGAGTTCGAGCCCCGTGTCAGGCTCCGTGCAGACAGGTCAGAGCCTGGAGCCTGCTGTGGATTCTGTGTCTCCCTCTCTGCCCCTCCCTTGCTCACGTTCTGTCTCTCTCTCTCTCAAAAATAAGTAAAAATTTAAAAAGTGTAAATAATAGTAACGCCCAATGTCGTGGAGGGCATGGGGAAGCAGGTCCACTAAGACACAGTAGACAGAAGAGGAAGCAGCCCAGGCCAGCTCAGCAGTAGCCACTGAAGGAGATGACTGGTCCTAGTGCAGTAGATTACCAATGGCGTCTAATTCTTTTTAGTCCCTCACTTAAAGAGGTGGATCTGTGGGGCGCCTGGGTGGCTTAGTCCGTTAAACGTCTGACTTTGGCTCAGGTCACGATCCCACAGTTTGTGGGTTCGAGCCCCCATGTCAGGTTCTGTGCTGGCATCTCGGAGCCTGGAGCCTGCTTCAGATTCTGTGTCTCCCTCTCTGCCCCTCCCCCGTTTGCACTCTGTCTCTCTCAAAAATAAATAAACATTTAAAAAAAAAAAAAAAACAGGTGGATCTGTTTCCAACCCTTTGACTCTGGTCTGTGCCTGTGACTTGCTGTGGCCAAAGGAATGCAGTGCACGTGACCCTATAACCTCAAGCTCCCAGAGGCCATGCAGCGTCTGCCCCCATTCACTTGCTGCCAGGTCCATTGTGTGAAAACACCCAGGCTGGCCGCTTGGAAGATGAAAGGCCACGTCAGGAGGGGGTCCCATTTGTCGCCCGCCAAGCCGGCCCTGCCCAGACTCTCTACGTAACCAATCCCCAGAATCAGGAGAAAGTATAAATCATGTTTGTTGAGCCAATATATTTTGGAGTGCTATTAGGGAGTCTGGGTATCAGAACATATAAGCATCTTTAAGAACCTGCTTTCTTTTCCTTTTCTTCTTCTTTTTATTATTTATTTATTTATTTATTTTTAGCAAATCAGCTATATCCTGAACCAGTACACCACCACTAAGGAAAAGGCATTCTCAGATCTGGATAGTGAGTAAGACTTAAAATTGCCTCAAATTCCTTTGTTTGTTTGTTTGTCTTGGCTAGAGGATGCTATGGCCATCTTCCTGAAACACGGGCTACGGTATGAAGTATGCCGTGTCTGCAACTTCTTCATAAAAGCTGGGGCAAAACAGAACAATTCCCTAGAGTGATAGACAGTTTGCAGTTTGTTACCTGATGAGTAAAGCCCAGCCTTTACTGTAAAAATGCTTTTGCTCTCTTTACTCAGAAGTGTTTGTTCTTCATTCCCCTTGGGACAGAGGAGTTGGGACTCTGTCAGGTCCACTGTTACAGACAGCACTGGGCTCCCCAGAGAAACCAGTGGGCTCCAGAAATCCCTGCATGTCCCCGAGGAGTTCACACACAGCCTGGCTCAGTGGTTCTTAACTAGGGGCTGGTTTGCCCTCCCGGCAACATGTGGCCCCATCCGGAGACATTCGGGTTGTCCCTACAGTCGGGGTGGGGGGGGGGGGGAGCAGTGCTACTGGCACCTGTTGGTAGCGGCCAGGTATACTTCCAAACACCCTACAACACACGGGATAACCCTCACAATGAATTACCCGGTTCAAAACGTCGGTAGTGCCATTGGTGGGAAACCCTGGCCTTGCTGGAGAGATTAGAGCTACGGTTGCAGCTCAGCTTCATAAACATTGTGTTTCTAGTACAGGTTCTCTCCCACCCACACGCTAACTGAAAACTGAGCACTCCTGTGAGTACTTTTATAAAGTAAAAACGGCATAAAGCAAAACTTAAAAAAAAAGGCCATTAATTTATATACGGAAAATTTCTTGAGCTTTAATTTATATACGGAAAATTCCTAGACACACACCTCCCCAAATCACCTCTGTTGGGCTTTCCTGATACCGTGGGACACATCTTGCTGACGGATGCATACAACTGATGGAGATACAGTCCAGATGCTCACAGACAGGGCTTGGAGCTCTGGCGCTTGAGCCTGAGATGCTGGGTGTGGTTCCCGCTAAAGGCGCTGGGGGGCGCCGCTGTTGGCCTCTGAGTGGGCTCATCTCATGGCAAAACCAGCAATGAGCGATGTTGTTTTCACTTTTCCTCTTTTTTCATCAAAGCAAAAACCCTTTACCTTAATGCCAACGTAGGTCTTTCGTAAAGGCTAAAGAGGCAAAATGTGAACTTCCGGAGAGCCAGGGACACCTGCGTGTTTAAATACCGAGTCCGCGGGTATGGGAACTGCGAGTGTGGGAACTTTGGATAGCGTGAAGAAATCTCCGCAAGAATCCACACCTAGATGGGGTGCAGGATGAAAAGGGGGCTTTCAGGGCAGGAGAGACCACAGATGACTTTCCAGGGAAGAAAATACCGCAGGGGGAGGAGAATGCGGGTGAGGGGGGCGGGGGCAGAAATTCGCGGATCCTACCCTCATAGGCCCTTCTGCTTCTTGGAATTTAGATGTCAAGTCATTGCTAGGAGGCGGAATTCACGAACAGCTGAGACCTAAAGTGATCCCCGCGCTTGATGACATCAAGGCCATGGCGGAAGGTAAGCCCCGGGACAGAATTGGGCGAGAGAATAATCCCACCGGAAGTCTCCGGCTTCCCAGGATCTCACTCCCATTTTCTCGTTTTCCCTGGACGCGGGCACATGCCAGCAGGCCAGGTCCAGACACACACCATGGCAAAGGTGTGGCTTGTTGGTTGGTTGGTTTCAAAAGCTTGTGCCAGAGAGGTTGTATTCATTACCTCAACGTCCTCTGAAATAACAACAGCAGAGTCTGATAGGAGCCTGCCACCTGTTTTTGTAAATACAGTTCTTGGAAGGCATCCAGGCTCCTTCGGTTAGTTGGCATCTGTGGCGGCTTTCACACTGTGGCTGACAGCAGAGTTGAACATTTGCAGCAGCGACCCCGTGGCCCACAAAGCCTCAACTATTTATTCTCCACCCCCTTACAGAAAAAGCTTGTCAGCGCTTGGTATAGAAGGCAAGCCACCCAGAGAAGTTTAGGTCTGGGGCGGGGGAGGGAGCAGTCTATAGATTGCTCTTCCTTTTCCCTGGAGAAAACAACTTTTGGGAAAGAAGAATCTGTTTCTTAAGACATCACAGGCAGTGATACAAGTGAACAGATATACTAATTCGAAGAAACTACGTATTCAGTTGCAATGAATCGAAGCTCTCCCAGAACTTTCTAAATGTTGAGATGTCCATGCTAAGTATCTGATAGAGAGGACAGTGTCACCTACGTGCCACATTTGTCATCCGGCCGCTGTGAATATGACTGTCATGAGCCAGTATTCCTGAGAAGTCAGGCCGCAAAGGAAGAAAGAGTGTAGATGCTGGAAAATTATGCCTGTTCACTTTGGCATTCCTCACTGCCACCCCCCACTTAGAGTTCAAAGACTCGGATGATGTATGGAAACGGGGTGACGTACAGAACAGGCCAGGAATTGGTAAGATTGGTTTTAAACAACTGATTAGTCTTTTCTTGCTCTCTGCTTGGCCCTTCAAAGGGTCTTCCTGCCACTGAAGGTGTGACCTCTGCTGCTGATGCTTAGATGCGTCCCCCCAACACCTTTTCTCCCTGCCACCAACCGTGTCTACCAATGCAAGGAGACTGGGGTCCAGAGAAGGAATGTGACTGCAGACATCAATGCCTCCTGCCTTCTTTTCTTAGATTTTTACATGTAGCTCCTTTCTTTCTTCCCTCCCTCCCTTCCTCCCTTCCTTCCTCCCTTCCTTCCTCCCTTCCTTCCTCCTTTCCTTCCTCCCTTCCTTCCTCCCTTCCTTCCTCCCTTCCTTCCTCCCTTCCTTCCTCCCTTCCTTCCTCCCTTCCTTCCTTCCTTCCTTCCTTCTTTCCTTCCTTCTTTCCTCCCTTCCTTCCTTCCTCCCTTCTTTCCTTCCTTCCTCCCTCCCTCCCTTCCTTCCTTCCTTCCTTCCTTCCTTCCTTCCTTCCTTCCAAATCTGGCCCCTGTCTATCACTCCAATCATTTTCCATCTCGGCTCTCCAGCCCCCAAACCTTCCAGTCCAAGTCATGAACCTGTGTTTATCCTACTGTGGGCCTCCGAAGGCATTCTTCCCTCCCAGACCCTTGTACTGCGTGTGCTTTCTCTGTGTAAATGCCATAGGATCGTCTCGACCTCCTCTTACTACCTACCAAACCACAGCTAAGTGTCCTGTTCTCTGCAAGCTTTCCCTCATGTCTCACCTCCCCCCTTTTCCCATAACAGAGCATAACAATCTCCTGATTTCTGCTCCTTACCTTGTGACCCTAAACGTACAGCGCATTTGTAGTCGCCCCTGCCCCCTCTCCCCACCTTTAACAGGCACCGAGCTACTCAAGGGCAAGATCTGTTGATATTGTTCATGTCTCTACTCTCCTAACTTGTGTCTGGAGGCAGCCTAGCACCCTGTCTGGCCTGCAGCAGATTCTCATTTCTGAAACGTATAAAGGCCTGAAGACTTTACCTTAATTTTCTAGGTTTAGAATCCTGTAACTTCACGAGTTACAGAGTAGAATATGGATTATATTCTTTCAGAGTCCTGCCTCAGTTGCTAGGCAACTCCTCTTGACTTCATAAGCTTCCTGATCTTTTACTTTTAATGTCTGTAATCATTTGATTCTTTTTAGTTGTTCTCGATGTGCTTTATGGATATATCTATCCATTCAAATCAGGGTATAGTTGTTTTCCTTTGCTTTGGGAATTTTGCCGACAATTTTTATACTTAGAGATCTTTGGGAGGTTCTGCTGATGTGGTATCAATGCCAAAGATATTTGAAGTGGCTTAAACAGCAGGAAACATATCACACAGGACAAGATATTGGAGGTATGGCAGTTCCAAAGTTAGTGGATTCAGGGGTTCAACACTGTCAGGGAGCCTTCATGTCCTTGCCCCGTCCTGTGGTTAGTAGACGGTGTTATCTCACCACCAGGATCAGACTATGAAGGCCTGCGGGGGGGGCTCCTCATTCCCTCACTCGGAGAACCATCACTCCTGGAAAATGCTGACCTTCTACTTCCCACATCTCTGGCATCGCTCTTGCTGATGATCAGCCACATCCCCTCATCATAGCCTCATGTGTCTGCACTTCACCAATGGATTAATGATGATTTGGGCTGGCTGTGTGACCTTGATAATCAGATGTCCCCAGTCATCTCTCTTGCCTTATTTTAACATCTCTTGAGTAATTATGTGTCATTTCCCTGATGCATATAGAAAATCTATCTATATCTGGGTTTCAAGTGGATTCTTTGCTCATGTAACTGACATCTATCTTCAGGTAAGGTTTGATCTAGTGGTGAAATTCTCTCCACCCGGCTGTCCTCTATAATGTCTATATCGTTCTAACGCAAACTCCCCATGTAGTTGCAAGAGAGCTGACACCAGCCATATTTCTCCTCCTCCTCAACCAGATATCCCTCCAGTTGGGCCCTCTGGGGTTCCATGGCCATCTGTGGACCAGTGCTACACAGAGGAAATGGTTTGGCTGGAGATAGTCAGGGCCCACTCCTTACACTAGAGGTGGGACCCATGTTATTCAAACACAAGTCTGCTGCAGCACAGGAAACTGGTGACGTGGCTTCCGAGATGTCAACCACCAAAGTCCACAGCAAGTTTTTGTAGAAATGATTGGCTATAAAGTAGTATTTAGAAAGCTTTTGAGTGTTGGGGGCCTGCCACATACCACATGCTTTTCCTAAATCCTCTTAGAGCTCCCAGGAGTACCAACTCAAGACAGTAAGGCTCAGAGATGATGTAACTTGTCCAAGGTCAGATACCTGGAAAGCAGTGGATTGGGATTGAGATGCAGGTCTGACTATAAAGCCTGTGCTGCCTGGTCTACACTAGATGGCATTTAGGTGCATTTGAGAGTGTTAAGATGTAGGATGTCTCCGTGCCGTTCATGGCAGGACAGCACTTTGGAAAAGGAGTTAAGAATCTGGAGTTCAAGTGCACTTGGCCACGGGATGATGCCAGGCATTTGGATAATTGGCCTTCCAAGTTCTCCTCCAGCTCCCAAATTAGGTGATGGTAAATTCTGAGCAAAAACTGACAAATGATGCAATGTGCTTGGCATGTACCTTTACTTTTGGTCCATGATTTGCCCAATCTTCAATGTTTGAATTAGAATTCTCTTTGGGTTAAAGGCAACTAAAGCAGATTTTATTTTTCTCTTTAGTGCTTCCTGCAATAGTGTTAAAGTTTCATTTTCTTTAAGACAGCCTGAGTAAATTAAAGTTTACCCTCTGGTTAAAAGCTCTGTTGTCAGAGCTTTTAAAAATATGCTTAAAAAACTGCTTTGACAATATTTTTTTCTCCTTGAGGGGTCACCCTTCCTGGAGGTAATGCAGTACCAGGTCGATGCATGGACTAGACAGAGGCAGCTCTTCTTCCATCTCCGTACTCCAGAAATCCATTTAATCTGTTACCCTCGGATAGAGGACATATCTGATACGAAACTGCTAAGAACAGATACTACCCTGGATCTTAGCCAAAAGGCTGAGAAGCGATGCTTTGACAATTTTTTGCTTAAAATTCTTGGCAGCCTTATGTGTTTAGTGGTTTTGCAGAGAGCAGAAACATGCATATTGATTTGTGTAAATCTTGTTTGAGCTTCAGATCAGGACCTACAAAGGAAATGTGCTATGAACTGGTAAAATGCTAATTAACCAAAATTGAGAATCTGAAATATCTTTCCACTGACTTCAGATGCATAATATGTGTGATCTTGCTAGGTCTGGAATGAGTCCCGGACGCAGTATATATTTTATAGACATAAATATATACTTTGAAGCCTTTGGAAAAAATGTATATTTATTACCTCTGAGTCTTTCTTGGGTATGACAGAATAGTGCCCATAACCCAGAATGTTTATAGAACGCACTTAAATGACAGAATAGTGCCCATAACCCAGAATGTTTATAGAACGCACTTAAATGGACACACATATTCTGGACCATTTTATTATCCATCATTTTAGGTTATTGTTCATTTATTGCCTTAAAAATTTACCATATCGTTAAATGGAAAGGACTATGAGAGATAAACCATATTAAAATGTGAAGTGTGTGTTGTGTGATGTGAAGTGTATTCTGGCGCACTCTTTTGCATTCTGTCATATGTTTTTAGCTGCAGCTCTGTTCTTTGTTTCTTGCTTCCTTATGGTAGACATTCACTGAGCCTCTACTATGAGTCATGCTTTGCTAGGAATCCTGGGAAGTAGGAGCAAGAGATGAGAAACTGACACCCAGTGACTCTTTTTTTAAAAAAAAAAAGTTTTTAATGTCTTCTTTATTTCTGAGAAAGAGAGAGACAGAGAGACAGCCTGAGCAGGGGAGGGTCAGAGAGAGAGGGACACAGAATCTGAAACAGGCTCCAGGCTCTGAGTAGGCAGTCAGCACAGACCCTGACGTGGGGCTCGAACCCACGAACTGTGAGATCATGACCTGAGCTGAAGTCAGACACTTAACAGACTGAGCCACCCAGGCGCCCCTTAAATATTATTATATCTCAAATAATGTTAAGATATGACTGGATGAAAATTCAAGAGAAAAGATTGAAGCAGATGTCAAGATTTTATATCTAGAGGGGCGCCTAGTGGCTCAGTTGGTTAAGTGTCTGCTTCAGCTCAGGTCGTGACCTTATGGTTCGTGAGTTTCAGCCCCATGTCGGGCTGTGTACTGACAGCTCAGAGCCTGGAGCCTGCTTCAGATTCTGTGTGTGTTTCTCTCTCTTCCCCTTCCGTGCTCATGCTCTGTCTCTCTCTTTCTCCCTCTCTCAAAAATAAACATTAAAAAATTTTTAAGAAGATTTATATCTAGAGAAGATGACAGAATTTGTGGCCAGTGATCATATAGTCGAATCTTGGGAGCCTCTCCAGGTCTCAGGGTACATCATCAAAGGCAGGATGTGGTGCCATCTTGGGTGACAGGGGCAATGCCATCTTCCTGAGGGCAGACCTGCTGGGACACAGCCTAGAATCACAGACTCTCCTAGTAACCAAGAGATGACCCAACTAGCTTCCCAGTTTACAGATGAGTAAACTGAGCTCCCTAGAGGTGAAAGAATTTGCGAACGGTGCTATAACAAGGTGATAACAGAACTGGAATGAGACCTCAGGATCCGGCAACACAAAGCATTAAAGCGTGTGTGTGTGTGCGTGTGTGTGTGTGTGTGTGTGTGTGCATGTGAGTGTGCATGCGTGTGTGTGCATGTATGCATGTGGTTTTAGCACGCAAGTTTTATGTGGTTGCCAGAGAAAGTTGGGGAAACCAGTTTTTAAGGCCATTCACACTTTTTCTTGCAACATCCAACTGTGGCTTGATGCTCTTGCCATCTGTTCTGGGAGCCCGGAAGACGCGCTTGCTTAGAAGAAGAGCAGTTTACTTTAAATTTCTCATCGTTTACTGCTGTGACTTTAAGTCCTTGGAGAAAAGAGTTGTAATTTGCTACCTCCCTGGCCATGAATACAGAGCTCTACGGCTCAGGAAAACCAGGACAGCAAACAGTTTTCAGGGGTTTCCTAATATAAGAATGTGTCCTAGGCTGTGAGGCTCCCCAAAGAGACCAGATGGACTCCATGGAGGAGTTCCATCTGATCCATCCAACCCCCACTTTTCATGATGATTGTGGTGGTGGTTCCACCATTTTCAGATGAGGAGATTGCCAGGGAACATTCAGGAATTGGTTTCCGGTGACCAGAAAATAACAAAGCTGGGATCTGCCCCTAGACCTGTGTAAATCCAAAGCCATGCTCTTAAACTGTTGCTTTGTGTTTGATTCCGGCTATTTGAATATTCATAGCAAAGATATGTCTAGGTGCGATCGGTTTTTATGTGTGTTAAAACTGCTCGGAGTTGAAGATGTTAGCTTGTCGGGGCTACAACCCCCTTTCCTGCCATTACTGTTCCTGTGCCGGCCAGTTAATGCTACACCTACATGCCTTGTTGTGTTCCTGGGTTGGTTCTTGCTCTTTCTTTTTGTCTGAAAAGTGTGCAGGCGGGAGAGCTGAGCTGGTTGGGGTTGCTGGCCGAGGAGGCCAACCATGTCCCTGTATTCCCCTCTCAGCCTCATCTGGTGGCCTTCCAATGTCATCTATAAGTTCACCTCAAGTTCCTTTAGGGTACTTGGTAGATGTGAAGGAATTTTGCCATTGCCAGCCTAGTGGGTGCCTCTGTTCTAAAGCAAAGTGTGTTCCTACAGCAATCAAAGAGACGAAAGAAGCCCTATTGAATGTGAACAATACCTTAAAGGAGCTGAAAAAGTCAAGTGCACAACTTAACACCAGCCTGAGTGACGTTAAAAGGGACCTGGAGCAATCACTCAATGACCCCATGTGCTCTGTACCTCCAGCGGCTGCCACTTGTGACAACATCAGAACGTCTCTAAGCCAGCTGGATGACAATACCAACATGGGTCAGGTGAGGAGGTGACCCTGCTATGGGGCAGTGTTGGACAACTGTGCAGGACTCGGTGTGGGTACATCTGTCCAGTGCACAGTGGCCTGGGTCTCTGTCCACCTGTCCTGGTTATCTGACCACCACATAGGCATGGCTGCAGCAGAAGAGAAAGAATAATGGGAAACCCTTTCGTAAGTGTTCTCGGTAATTGATTTGATGGAACCTGCCAGAATGGATTCAGCTTTAATGAGAAAAAAGAAAGCAGAATGTGTTTTTGTAGACCTTTAAAAATTAAAATATATTTTCAAATGACATGCCTAGTACATTAACCATATATATGTGTGTGTGTGTGTGTGTGTGTGTGTGTGTGTTTACATATAGGTTATATATATATATATGTAATTCCCCCTATTCCAAAGAGAAAATTAGGGGAAAAAAGAATTTGGAGCATCTTGAAAATATAAAGTCCCAAGTTATATATAAAATCACATCTACTCATGATTTTTAATTTATCAAGATAGTGGTATATTTATGCCACATTTTTTATAAAATAATATTTTAATATATAAAATATGGTCTTCTCACCTTCCTATTCCATGAGTCATATTATACAGACTCTTCACCTTCAGCCTCTGTGTCTACATATCTGTCACCATCACTGTTGTCACCATTGAATAGTTTTTCAGAGCCTGGGCTTTTCACTTCCATTTAAATTGTTTGAGCTCCAGTCTTTTGGGGGAGGTAACTTTTTATTTTGATGTCCTTTTAAACATGCAGAAAATTTGCAAGGATGATAAGAGGAACCTCTGTACCCTTTACCCAGACTTTCCAGCATTTTTCTCCCTTTGCTTTCTTATATTTTCTTTGTTTATCCATCTGTGTATCTACCATTTACTCATATTATCATGTATACGTATAAAATATCATGCATTTTGTGTTTTTCTCAATCATCTGGTGATAAGTTGTGGACAATATGTCCTTTTACTCCTAAATATTTCTGTGCATTTCTTAACGGCACACAACCTTTGTACAATTATCAAAATTAGGACATGTAACACTACTGACTAGTCCATGGTTTATATTCAAATTTTGTGGATTTTTCTGAAAAACTGACTTTACAGCTGTTTTTCTTTCTCCAGTCTAGAGGCCAGTCCAGAGTCACATCTGGTCTTTGCTTGTCATGTCTGTTTAGGTCCTTCAATCTTGGACGGTCCCCAGCCTATCTTCTTTTTTACCATTGACATTTTTGAAGACTACAGGCCATTTGTTTTATAGAAGGACCCACACTTTAAGTTCATCCGGTGTTCCCTCATGATTACGTTTGAGTTATCCATGTTTGCCAGGGCATCACAAGAATGATATTGTGTCCTTCTCAGTACATTGTGTCAGAAGGTTCATGATGTTTGTCTCAGTATTGTCAAGAGACAGAACACTTTAAGCCCACATATGATGCTGTAATGGAGCCTTTATTCTAGACCACTCACCAGTAAAACCATTGTTGTATTATTTTAAAGCATGTTTTTAAAAAAGTTGTTTATGACTTTGTTCAACAGTATTCAGTACCTGAAATTGTGAGGTCACCCATATGCCCTCTGTGTTAAATTTCTTTCCTGCATTTCGAGCTAACTGTAATAGAGGCCCACCAAACATCTAAAACTTAATGCTTGTAGGGGCCACCCTGAGCTAAACGTATTTCCCCCAACAAATATTCTATTGTTCAAAAGAAACTTAAATTGTACCTTATAAAATAGAGACTTTGGGATTTGGATATAAGATGACTCCCTTTTTATGATAAATACTGTTGGGAGTAACCACTTTGTCTTATGTTTTGTTTTACAAATTTCAGCTCCCATCTTTGGATAAGCCAATTGAGAAGATTAATGATATTCTTCAAACAAATTTGTCCAGCCTGGTCCAACAGGTATGTATGTTGGGGGAAAAATACAGTAGTTTATACAGCAGTTTATTTTACATCGTTTTAAAGAGTGGACAAGTACATAAGAAAATAGGTAACCCCAAAAATGCAGTGAAATTTTGGAAAGGGGTTGCCAAGAAAGACATTAACTGTTATCCTCCAGGGAATTTTGCTCATTCAACTTAGAGAAGTTTGGATCTTGCCTTCCTGGGATTCGGAATTTGCTGGGAGTAAGGCTGAACCCAATACTGACTCTGAGCAAGGTCCCTCCCACTGCGCCGGAAGTCAGCCCCCTTGCTTTTGTCTCCTCCCCTTCTACACATTTGCACATGCTGTGAGCTCTGCCCGCCACTCTCTCCTTTCTCCCTCTCCTTCACTGAGCTACTTAGGCTACTAAATACTAACTACTTAAAGCATTCAGTATGTCTTTCTTTTTTTATTTTTTTTAATGTTTCTTTCTTTTTGAGAGAGAGAGAGAGAGAATGCAAATGGAGGAGGGAAGAAAAAGAGGGAGACACAGAATTCCAAGCAGGCTCCAGACTCCAACCCGGGGCTCAAACTCCCGAACCATGAGATCATGACCTAAGCCAAAGTCAGACACTTAACCAACTAAGCTGCCAAGATACCCCTCAGTATCACTGTCTTAATGAGACCTTTTCTGGGCATCTTGACCAAATCGAACCCTTTTAAATGCATTCTTAAAGCACAGCGGATATTCTTTCTTAAGTTCCTCCCGACTATAATTACTGCTTTAATGTCTCTACTGTCCCACTGGAGTGTAAACCCTGAAAATGGCAAGGACCACATTGGCATAGAACATCATCATTTCCCCGATAACCTACCAGTTATTGCTATTTGTTCAACCTGTATATTGAGCGCACAATAAATATTTCTTTGTAGATATGATTCAACAAGAGTGCCCGGGGGCCCGCGGGAAAAGGAGAGAATAGTTCTATTCTTGCCTCTATGTCTTTTAGCATGGGGTATAAAAAGATCATCAGGTACCTGTTAAACACTCATCTGCTGACAAAGTTAAGTGTCCCCTTAAACAAGTTATTAGAAACTCTTGGTCATTGTGTTCTGGTGTCCCTTTATTTGTTAAATGAGAGAGTTGAACGGGGAGATCTGTAAGGCCCCTTCTGGCCATGAAACCTCTTACAGTGGGTGGCCTCCACAAGTCCAAATGCAGATAAATATAGTAGGTCAGGTGGACAGTAATCCAAACAGACCCTGAGCTTAGTCACTGTTGAGGAAACGGAAGTGGTGGATGTTCTTATGGCATCGATGTTTCTAGGTTAAACTGGAAACTTGCCGGCACCATAAATCTTACAAAGTCCGTATCTTACAGTGGACTGCTGTAGGAGAATATCATAAGCTGGGTGTTTTCTAAAGAGAAATTTATTTCTCACAGTCCTGGCAGCTGGATGTCCAAAGTCAGGGTGCCAGCATGATCGGCTTCTGATGAGAGATCTTACAGGTTGCAGACGGCTGTTTTCTCATTGTATCTTCACTTGGTGGAGACAGCTGTCTGAGGTTGCTTTTATAAAGGCACTAATCCCATCCATGGGGCTTTACCCTCATGATTGAATCACCTCCCCAAAGCCCTACCTCCTAATACCATTACTCATGTTAAGGGTTAGGATTTCAGTCAACATACAATGTTGGGGGTGGGGGGAGGTGGACACAGACATTCAGTCCATAAGAAGTTTCAGTCAATACCATATTCCCTAGCAGCTGGCTAAATACACCAGCAGACAGTTAAGAAACACAAATTAAACCTCTTCCAGAGGAAAAGCTGTATATTTAGTTAAGCTACTTGGATGGAAGTAATGACATCTCTCCTTCACAGATTTAGCCCCAAAATGACAGAGCTTGGGGTGGCTGTTTTTGTTTTCACTGGAGCCTCACTACAATTCATATTCTCTATAAGCTGTGTTTTGGGGCACTATTGTTTTCTGTAAGACGAGATCTGTAGTTTTGCTTCTTATTTGCAATTCCGGTTTTGGAATAATTCCAGTTTTGGTATAATGCACTTTACATCTGCATGTGGTATACTGTACAGATCAGGGTTTCTTAACCTCAGGACTGTTGACACTTGGGCTGGATAATTTTCTGTCACGGGGGCTGTCCTGTGCCCCATTGTAGGGGACCCTGTTCCCACAATGCTGCAGCTGTGATAACCAGAATGCCTCCAAACATTGCCAGAACTCCCCTGGAGGACAAAATTGCCCCCGATTGAGAAACGCAACTGTAGATAAGTTTAAAGCTTAAAAGTAAAAAAACTTTTGTGGTTTCTAGCTGACTCAGTTGGTTGGGCATCCAGCTTCAGCTCAGGTCATGATCTCATGGTTGGTGAGTTCTAGACCCGCATCGGGGTCTTTGCTGACACCTCGGAGCCTGGAGCCTGCTTCAGAGTCTATGTCCCCCTCTCTCTTTGCCCTTTCCCCACCCATGCTCTTACCTCTCTCTCAAAAATAAACACTAAAAAAAATTTTTTAAGTAAAACAATTTTAACAGGACCTTCAATGGATACAATTTAAAGAAAACCTTATTTTTTAACTTTTTAAATTTTTTTTAAATTTATTTCTGAGAGAGAGAGACAGAGAAACAGAGTGAGCAGGGGAGGGTCACAGAGAGAGGGAGACACAGAATCCAAAAGAGGCTCCAGGCTCTGAGCTAGCTGTCAGCACAGAGCCCGACGCAGGGCTCGAACCCACGAACCGTGAGATCATGATCTGAGGCAAAGTCAGACGCTTTACCGATTGAGCCATCCAGGCACCCCAAAGAAAATCTTCCTTAAAAGGGAATGTTTTTGTAGTCTTTTAATGACCATATAGTGATCATTTTCACCTTAAGATGACTGTTGCATTTTCACATTGCTTCTCCACTCCATGCTAAGCTAGAAAATGAGGACTTATTAACTGCCCTTCTAGTCACTGGTACATCAATCTGCTTTGAACTATTTTATAGGGCTATAAATCCTTCAATGATATTCCTGAAATGGTGCAAAATCAAACCACAGACATCATATCAGGTGAGTCAGGGTTTGATGTTCTATTGTTTCTCTCTTTGTTAAACATTGGATGATTAGGACAAAAAAATGTATTGTTAAGAACTGTATTGATTTTCCCTCTTAAAAAAACTCTCTCATTGATCTTGAAAATTAAATGAGAATCAGAGCTTTTTAATTGTGCCACCTTCACACAGTGATTTTGATCTTAAGAAATGATAATCCTACCGAATGTTGATTAACATGGTCCTGCTGGCCAGAGGCTGCAAGGTTGAGGACCACACTGTAATGGTGAGCCCTCATAGTGAACTGTCAGAGCTGAAGACAGCCATAGTTTGGAAAGTCACATTTTGATTGGTTTCACTAGGGAAAAACTGTAGATTATTATATGTTCTAAAAGAACATAAAATTGATTTTTTTTTCAGAATTTCTGTGTGTAAGGATTCATTTTGTCTCTTTAGGAAGATGTTCATCTGCCTTCTGATGCTGCTGTAAATGTATTTTAGGCTTTTAAGGTTGCTTAAGATTTTGGAAAGACAACTGATATTGAGAGAATTCTGCTAGTCTTAAATGATTGAAGTACATTGTATTCAGGTTATGGTATTTGGGGTGAAGCTACAGAAAAACAGTGCAGTATAAATAGTTAATGGGGCAGCAATGGCAATAAACATGGGTTCTTCGCTTAAAGAAGAAATCTCTGAAGCTATGTAAGCTCTTCTTTTAAATCACCTTCTCTGTGCTTCTTTTTACCTGTTGAGCAAGCAATTTTAAAATGTTGTGTTAGAAGTACTTGATTTTTTTTTCACTAATAGTGTTCTTTCAACCCACTAAGACTTTGGGTAAAAAGTATTTTATCCTATTACATAAAGCCTTAGATGTTTTGTGGGTTCCTTTTTGTTTAATCTAAGATTCTACCTGAAACTATGAAGATACTAAAGACAAAGTTCACGCTTTCTTGTGCTAGCGTCTGAAAGCTAACACATGCTGTACATCTAATAGCCACCTGCTTACTAATTTCTGTGTTTACTTTTTTTGTTCTCCCTTTCTGGACCTCTTCTGCCAATACATGCAGCCCTCCCCTGTAAGTCTGGCAAAGCGAGGTGTGCAGTATGCGTGAGCGAGGCCCATCGCACATGGTGTCATTGCCTAAACACAAGCCAGAGTTTTCCCGGGTCTGGGAGAATATCGCTCCGTTAGCCTGAATATTAATTGATTTAGATTCATGCCCTTCCAAAACCAATAAAACCCTTAGCTCCCATGTTTTGATCATCCGGTCCCACCCTGCTCACTTATTTTGAGTGCCTACTGTGTGCCAGGCTCTACTGGGCTCTAAGGATGGGAGATGAATAAAGCATGACCCCCGCCTACCATTCAGCAGGGCCTGTATACAGATGCCAGTTATCACTCTCTGGTAACAAGACAGGATACATGCAAGGGATATGAGGTGGGAGAGGGTAGCAGAAGGCTTGCTGAAGGAACCAACATCGAAACTGAGGTCCGAGGGAAGTATTTGGTGAGAGAGGACATCAGCCACGTACAGAGGTCACGCAAGCTGGCAAAGCCAAGGAGCCATGTTGTGTGGGAGGGCAGGACAGCCTAAGAAGCAGAAGGAACCCCATTCTGAGTTTCGGGAAGTGTTCACAGGTGAGGAGGAGTCTGCATACCACATCTCTACAAACTCCCAGAGATCCCAGAGTTAAGCACGAGACCCACCGAGCCACCTTGTTCAGGATCCTGGGGCCTTTGGGCACACAATCCATTTGGAGGAGAATTGAGCCACTGTGGATAACTGCCTCCTCCGTAGCTCTGTCTGAACACATCTGTGTGAACAGCACACTTTGAAAAAGATTCCCACCCTTTTCTGTAATTCCATCATGGTCCATGCTACCATGTACCCAAAGTTTATCAGGAGCCCTGGGATCACACTCTGAGAACAGCTGACCTTGTCTTTGCTGCTGTAAAGAGGTTTATCTCCCTTCCAGGACCAGTGGATATTTAACTGATTAGCATGTTCTTAGTACATCCATGTTGAGAATCACATGTCGAGACAATGCCTACTTCAGACCTTTGTGAGCATTAAATGAAGTGACGCCTGTGTACTGAGTATCTTTGATCCCAGGACCTGTCACAATGGACAGACACTTTCCAAAAACTGGAACTTATTTTCTCTCTGAAAGTTTAGGATGGATATTAATAGAAACCCTTTGACCACTGGGTTTCTGCATATGAGAGACACAGACATCCTTTAACAAGTCTCAATTTGTACGAGTCGTATAAAATTTTAAGAAAAATATGCCTTGGGGTCACCGTTCAAAAAATTGGTCCTGGTGAATGACTGTGTTCTCCTGAATGCTATTTCTTATTAAATTATTTTTTTTCCAAAATCATGGAACAGAAGCTTTGGAATTAAATTAACCCAAGGTTAAATTTCATTTCTAGTGCTTTCTGGAAGAAACAAAAAAGGCCTATGGGCAAGTAATTTAACCTCTGTGGGCCTCTGGGTCACTGTTGGTAAAATGGGAATAAGAATATCTACCTCAGTGGAATAAATGAGTTAACATTTATAAAAGTGTGTGGCCCATGGTAGGCACACCGTAGGTTTTAATCACCAGATTCATTTTATTTTTTTAGTGAAGTGAGTAACAGAAGAAAACTCTGGCTTGACTTCAGCACCATATCATTAAAGTCAGCGCTCATAGCTTGCTGTTTTGTTGAGTAATTGCTTTTTGATGGTCTTGGCTACATTCATGCTTGTTGCAGAACCTTTTCATGTTTTAACCACATGCATAACATGGGGAAAACTAAACGTGGTTGAAGCTTTTCATTTTGGCTCCAAACCACAAAATCTGTTCCCCCTACGTTTCAAAATCCATAACCTGGGTATGTTTGTTTTCAGATGTCAAAAGTACCTTGAATTCCATTGGCTCAGATATTGAAAATATAGGTGAACAGATTCCTATTCAGGAGCAGCTGTCAAATTTCATGGGTTACATTAATGACACTGAAACTTACATCCACCGCAATTTACCCATGTTGGAAGAGTATGATTCATACAGGTGAGTGCCCCCCTTGAGCTCGCAAACTAGAAGTGAACCTTGCTCTAGAACAGGGTAGAAATCTGACATTATAAGCAGGACCATCTTGTGAGAGAAAATTGTACAAAGAAGCCGTAACCGCATATGTGTTAACCCTTGTTTGTGTTTATTTAAAAAGTTGGAGTGCTCACTCTGGCAGCACATATACTAAAATTGGAAGTAGATAGGGAAGATTAGCATTTCTGTACAAGGATGACATGCAAAATTCACGGAGTATTGTTTTTTTTTTTTAAATTAAAGACTGTAAGTTCTTGAGCTGAGTGATCAATAATTTGCAAATTTTATATTATTAATGCCTTCTATAATCTTAGCTATAATTATCTAACACATAGAAAAGGATTTTAAAACCTAATTAAGGAGCACATCTGGAAAATATTCTTCTTTTCATTGGTTTATAAAATAACACATAGAGGTTGGTTCTTACAGAAAAACATCCTTGAAAAGAGTAAATTGCTGGAGAGCTTAGGTAACCGGCTGTAGACCCCAGCTGCTGATTGCCCCGTTAGACAATGTTAGTGGTGGAGTCTGGACCCTCGAGACGATAGTTGGACATCTCAAGGAGCAATAGACTTGTAGACCTGAGTTATTTCGAGAACCATGTGAGATAGAAGATGTGCTCTCCTCTCTGAAAGGCTCAGCCCCACAACCTGCCACTTTTGGAATCGTTTACTGTCTCAACTCATGGAAATTCTAGAGACTTCCCTTCCTGCTTGGTTATTTATTATGCAAGAACCCAAGATAAATAATAAAATAATAACAAAGAATAAAATAATAACTGCTAGAATTTCAGCTAGTTACAGTGTGACTTCCAAAGTGCTGTACATGTGACTTCTCATTTAATACTAAAAAACAAAAACAAAACAAAACAAATATCCAGGGTTGTGTTCTATTTGTAATCTTGTTTCATAGACAAGGAAATTGAGGCTCAGAGGAGTAGAATGACCTACATAAGGCCAACAACAGTGTGGCAGAGGTGGGTTTTCAACCCCCATCTGACTATGCTCCTAATTATTGTCCTGTAATCAGTAAGCCATTTTCCTATAGTGTGGCTAGGTCACCCCAGCAGGTATCAGGGCAAACATAAGACAGACCTTTTCTCTGGGGCACGCAAGTGGCTCAGTCTGTTAAGGATCCAACTCTTGGTTTCGGCTCAAGTCATGATCTCATGGTTTTGTAAGTTCGAGCTCCACGTCAGGCCCTGCTTGGGATTCTCTCTCTCCCTCTCTCTGCCCCTCCCCCACTCATGCTATCTCTGTCTCTCTCAAAAATAAATAAATGAACTTAAAAAAAAAAAAAACAGACCCTTTCTCAATGAATTCCCAATCTTTTAAGAGGTTAGAGTTTCACCAACAGAAAGAATGATACAATTATCTGTCTGCACATCTGCTCCCATTGCCCTGAGACTAGAAGCTTCCTTTTAAAGGCAATCTAACTAAGCAGTTAAAGCATGCATTCACTGCAGAAGATTTCTGAGGCCAGGTTCCATGGCTTGTTTAATTTGGTGTCCCCAGTATCTGGAACAAAATACCACAGAATGTGGGTAGGTGGCCGTACAATTAGCGAGATTGCTCTTAATTTAATGAAAAGCTTCAGAGGGAGCTTTTGTCGCAGAAGTAAATTCTTTATTTTTTGGTGTTTTAATGGTTGGGCAGCATTTCTACCCTTGAATGCTCCTCGGCTGCTGGAAAAGGTTGTTGTACCTTCCGGCAATGCCAGTAAGACCTAATTGAGGCTCCATTATCCTAAAATGTCTCACAGGACCATTACGAAATTGAGATTTGCATTCTGCAGGCACTTGATTTAGGATGCTCATAAATTCTAAGATATTCAGTGCACTCCCTGTGTAGAGTTTCTGGTTCAGCAAAGAATGTGAGGTCCCCTCCCAAATATTCCCGCAACCACAGAGTGTTGTAAATTTAATTTTTTTTAATGTTTTATTTATTTTTGAGACAGAGAGAGACAGAGCACAAGCAGGGGAGGGGCAGAGAGAGGGAGACATAGAATCAGAAGCAGGCTCCAGGCTCTGAGCTGTCAGCACAGAGCCCAACAACGGGGCTCAAACCCATGAACCATGAGACCATGACCTGAGCTGAAGTCGGATGCTTAACCAACTGAGCCACCCAGGCGCCCCCAGAGCATTTTAGAGAAGGACCGAGGAAAAGAGCCTGGTATTTCTTTACCTGTTGTTGAATCATGATCTGTCCACATGCCATCATCATCGTTATAATAAGCACTCGCAGCAGCGGGAACCTTGACAGAACTTAACAAGTCTGAAATGGGAATTATTATCAGTAGCTTTGGAGAAGTGGACCAAGCCCTGCTTAGGACCCCCACAGATATGAAGCAGGGAAGGAAGCAATAGTCACCTGACCATTGAGAGAGACAGATCTCTTCAAAACCAAGACTAAAATTAAGGTTTCCTGCTGGCTGGGCTGGAGGACTTGGGGTAGGAAGTGATCTTTTCACTACAGTGTCACCCTCTGAAGAATCAGTGGGGGAATCAGATATTTGATTGCCACGTATTACTTACCTGCTTCATGCCCAGTCCAATAGCTTTTGTGTTATTGTGAGGTCATTTCTTTTATGTATAATAACACTGTGCTTGCTTCACCAGGTGGCTGGGTGGCCTGGTTGTCTGCTGTTTGCTAACACTCATCGTGATTTTTTATTACCTGGGCTTGTTGTGCGGCACGTGTGGCTATGACCGGAATGCCACCCCGACCAGACGAGGCTGTGTCTCAAACACTGGAGGCATCTTCCTCATGGTGTGAGTGTTTGCTCTTCCTTGCCACGTCGGGGGTGGAAATGAAGTGGATGACTGACGACACAAATCTGGTGGTCTCTGGGCTACACATCCTGGGTAGAGATGGAAGAGGCACCTTGGTGTGATTGCACTAATGTTGGTTTGGGGAATTCCACCAAGCGTAAAAAAGTAAAAGAAGATTCTAAATTGTTTGCACTTTGATAGACAAGCTTAAACACAATATATGGTGGGGTCCTCTGTAGCTAAATTATTTCTAAGCATGCATTCTTGGTTCCCATTGTATTTTCTCTCTCTCTCTCCATCCATCCATCCATCCATCTTTTATTCACCAGAAATTTGCTGAGGATTGGCCTGATATCAGTCACTGTTCTCTGTGGTCACCAGTTTCGTTAGCTTGTTGGCTTTGAAACTCTGGAAATCTGATTTAGAAAAGAGATTGCCAGGGTACCTGGGTGGCTCAGTCAGTTAAGCTTCCAACTCTTGGTTTCTGCCCAAGTCATGATCTCATAGTTCGTGAGTTCAAGCCCTGCTTGCAGTGCTTGCTTGAGATCTCTCTCTCTCTTTCTTTCTCTCTCTCTGTCCCTCCCCCACTCGCACTCTCTCTCTCTTAAAATAAGTAAATAAACTTTAAGGAGTACCTGGTGGGCTCAGTCGGTTAAGCATCTGACTTTGGCTCAGGTCATGATCTCATGGTTCATGAGTTTGAGCCCTACGTTAGGCTCTGTGCTGACAGCTCAGAGCCTGGAACCTGCTTGGAATTCTGTGTCTTCCTCTCTCTCTGTTCCTTTCCTGCTCGAACTCTGACTTTCTCTCTCTCTCTCAAAAAGAAACAAAGAGTAAAAATAAATTTTTTAAGAGTCGACCATGTAAAAGTTAAATAAATAAATAAATAAACTTTCTTTAAGAAAAGAAAGAATAAAAGAAAAGAGATTGCTGATTCAGCACCCTTAGGATTTAGACACGTGGCCTCAGTTAGTGATTAGAGCAGGTGTGGGGCGCCAGACAGTGGTGAGCCTGCCATACACCGGAGCAATTGTCCCTGCTTCAAAGGTATTCAGATCCCAGTTCATATTTTTTTAAACAAATAAATGTAAAAAAGAAAAAACCTTCACTAGGGGGTGACAACACACACAGGGCGTGATCTGGGTGTGACTGCAGATGGAGCCAGAAACGTCATCTTGGAGGCAGAAGTTAAAGCTTTTCATGCTCCCCGGAGAGGAAGCTGTGTGGGTTCCAAGCTGATATTTTCTTTTCCAATAAGTACATCAAGAATCAGCAGCAGGGAGCGTGATGGGGCCGGAGAGGAAGGTAAAGATTTGGAACAAGTCCTTGGAGCCATGGAAAATCAAAACCTCAGCCGGCTGTCATTGCTTATGTCACTAGTACCAGGCTGGGAGAAGCTGGCAAGCCAGTGTCATGCATTAACATGCTTTTTCAAACATTGGGTCACTACAGTAATTCATCAGACTTATGAGCTCTAATGATGGTAAGAGCTCATAAGTCTGATGAATTATTGTATTTGCTCTCAAAGCTTTCAGCTCCAGGATAGCACAACAACCCTCTATTAACATGAATGCAGGCCCAGGAATTTTACAATAATTTAATAGTTTTAAAACTCTAACAACATGGGAGTCTGCCAGATTTGGACAAAGTGGAACAGTACTCAGTGCATGGAAAAGCCTATTTGCTCACAGGGCTACACATAAGAAATTAATGCAGCAAGGAAGAGTATATTGCCCCGCCTTTTAGTTTAAATGTCCCCAGCTACAGATGGAAAATGAGTTAAATGTTCAGAATTTACTAATCCTGGGACTGGCTGTTTTGTCAGTGTTTGGACAGTGGATCCATATATCACATCTTTGTAACTGCTTGATGGGAGGGCATACATTGTTCTGGAAAGATTCATTTGTCATACAATTCTATTTGCACATTTTTAAGGGATAAAACCAAAATATGTGATATCCCGTTTCAAAGAAAAAGGAAACAGGGGAGTCATAAGCAATTTGATGGAGACTAAAATTGCTTCAGTTTGGATATAATTCTCACTTCTGCAGAGGAAGGAATCTCTAAAGAGACAAAGTCACGTGGAAGCCTGTGGCTTGGGAGCAAGGGGATTTATCACCCAGTAGGAAAAAAGCTGGTGGCTGTGGGCTCTGTATTGTTGGCACTCATGGCTCAGCATGGAATTCGTGCTTGGCAGGATCTTCCATCTCTTGAGATATCTGGTAAACAACTTGATAGTTGTAAAGGGGAAAAATTGATGCAAGTGTAATCAGTCTAGTCAAACTAATTAGAAGAATATACCTTCTCAAAAACGGTTTGTTTGCTTGTAGAAACAAGAAAGTATATTTTGTTCAGCTGCAACCACAACACCACCTGCTCTTAAAAACAGTAACACCATCCGTTGATGTTGATGTTGAAGAGCATGGTCTCTTCAAAAAGCAAGCAAGAATCCTTATCTCCCAGGGGGATCCTAGCAAAGAGGTCTGGGGGGAGGAAGGCCAGAGGTCCCTGGCCCTGCTCTGATCCTGTTTCTTCTGAGGGTCCAGGGAGCATTTTAGGGGCCAAAGAGGATACAGCAAGGAATGTACATCTGTCTCAGGGGCATGTAGGTTTCCCCGGAGGTAAGGACACCTAATTAGGCAACAAGAAAACAATCTCTTATACTGAAGCCCACTGTGAAGTTTCCAGTTTTGGTTCTTGCAAACCATGCTCAAATTATCCAGAGCTTTGAAGAAAGGCTAATACTCAGTGTAGCCATGTGGTCACAAAATGGGAGCTGTTACATGACTGGTGGCCGTTCAGTGGTTACAGATATTTCAGAAAGCATTTTGTCAGGCTGTAGCAGGGGCCATAAAGAGATAATACTCTCCTTGGCCAAGTCATTCCATTTTAGGGGATCAGTTTCAAGGAAGTAGGACCCAACTATGGACAAAGTATCACAGGCAGAGAAATGTTTTTGCAGCATTAGTTATAATAGGGAGGCACTGGAAATGACACAAACGTCAGCCACCAAGGAGTGGGACATTCCTGCAGCCGGTGAAATGTAACTCGGTTGGCTTCCCTGGATTGTTGACCCAAGTCCCTGAGATGTTCAACAAGGGCTCACAAGACTATGCGTGTATCATTCTCACAGCTGTGTAGATCAGGAGTCAGCACACGTTTCTGTGAAGATCCAGACAATAAATATGTTCACTTCGGCTGACCCCGTATGGTCTTTGTTCTGTGTTCTCTTTCTTGTTCTTATTTTACTTCTTCTCTCCTTTTCCTTCCCTACGACACTTTCAACACACATTAGCCATTCTTATCTGAGTGACCTTACAAAAACAGGCCATTGGGAGTGCTGTGTTCCTTATCTAGATATAGGCATATTTAAGAAATAAAGGGGGGAAATAAGCTCTTTAGATTAGCGGTGTTGTTTTGAAGTGTTCTGTCAAAGGTTTTGAACTTTGTTATAACTCTAATATACATACATGCTCATGCACGTAGCTCAAACCATGGTGACTAGCATATACTTCCCACATGTTCCCCTTCTTTATGCTCAAAAACCTGTTAGGTCAGAGAAGTTCAGGGTGATAGAGGCCCCTCCAGTGGGAACACCTTGCTATTTATTTCAGCCAAACCAGACAAATATCTGTAACTATTCCTTAAGGGTGTCCACTGGGCAGAATCATGCCCTTCGGTAAGGGATGCTGTTGTTACTAAGTATATCAGCTGAGTACACACTTCTGAGCATCCTTCCTGTTTCCACCACTGACGGTATAATCATCAGTGATGATCTGGCCATTCCGCCTAGATTGATTCAAGAGTTTGCTCTGTCTGTGTCTACACCAGAGTAACTGCGCACTCTAGACAGAAGTCATGCAATGGGGCACTTTGGTATCCCTACAAAATTATGACCCCCACCTCAAATGGATCCTTCACAGTCCTGCAAGTTTCTTCCTCACCTCTCCACCTCCCTTCTTCCCTCCCTCCCTCCCTCCCTTCCTTCCTTGCTTCCTTCCCTTCTTCCTCTGCTTAGCAATGGCTTTTTCCACACTGATCCATCCATGCTCCTTATACCTCCCTCTTTAGCAGCTGGCTTTACTCCTTCTTCACAAAGGAAATAAAAGCCATCATACAATTTCCCATCACCAAAACTCCAGTGCACCTGCATTCACGCACGTGCATGGTCAAGTGCAGAGAGAGGGATCCCTCCCTTCTGGGCCCATCCCACCTCCTCTTCCCAATCTCAATCCCTGTGCACAGCCCAAGGGTGTCATGGATGAGCCCTTCCCTCTCCTGTGTCTTCATTCTCTTCTCTTCTCCTAGACTTCTTTCTCAACACTTAGCCATGTTCTTTTCTCTCCTTTCTTTAAAAATGAAAACAGAAAACCTCTCCCAATGCCACTTCTTCCCTTCACAGGCTTCAAAAATAATGATGCTTGCTGCCTGTTTCCTCACCTCCTACGTCCTGTACAAGGCCACGCCCCTTCCCGCAGGTCAGCAGCAGCCTCTGCCATCCTTCCTTCTCTTCCCTCCCTGAGCACCCAGTGTCTCCCTTCTCTGCTGACAAGCCCCGGCTTCACCCCAGGCTGCTCCTTGCCCTCTCCTCTCGTGCAGCATCTTCAGCGCGTCCCGTGTCCTGTCTCTTCTGTCGGCTGACTTCTCGCCACCGCCTCCAGCCATACCAGGCCACCACCCCAAGATGACAGCCTCATCAGTGGTAGCCCCATCCTCATGGGCATCTGTCCATCCCATCTTCACGCTCTGCCTAGAATGTTCTCCGTCAGAGAGAAAGTGGGCTGTGTTCCTCCTGTGCTTCAAGGCCCTCAGCAGCCTCCCCTTACTGGACCAGCCAGGCCCCATCTCATGCACCCCTGCCTGCCTCTTGAGCTGTGTCCGTGCCGCTGGCGGCCCTCCCTCTGGATGCAGAACCACGCTGGCCCCTTCAGACCCCCAGTGGTACATCTCCTGCCTCCCCATTCACTGGGTGCCCTGCAGAAGAGTAGGTTCACTCAAGTGACTCCAGAGGCCGTGTCTGAACCACAGTGCTGGGCTGCAGCGAGATCAGACACTAAGTCGAAGGAGTCCTTCACTATGTGCCTGGGACTGAAGAGTCACAGTGCTTACTGCTGTCTGTCTCCGCTCCTAAGCCGGTCGGCTCACTTAACCTGTACCAAGCGAAGACTCTAGGTCCATTTCCTACACTGCATACATAGAATTAGTAAGTACTGGTAGGTAATATTGGATGTGTAGTTTTGGTTTGTTTTTGTGGGTTTTTTTTTAAGTAATCTCTGCACCCAATGTGGGGCTCAAACTCACGACCCTGAGATCAAAAGCCATATGCTCTACCAACTGAGCACCAGGGACCCCCGAATACTGAATAATTTACCCTAGAACTCTTAACTTTATTTCTGTTTTTCCCTTTTTTTTTCCAGTGGGGCTGGAGTGAGCTTCTTGTTTTGTTGGGTATTGATGACCATCGTGGTTCTCACTTTTGTCGTTGGTGCAAACGTGGAAAAACTGCTCTGTGAGCCTTACCAAAACAGGAAGTTATTCCAGGTACATATGCCTTTGGGGCCCGTTACGGAAGGGCTTGACTGGAAACTTTTATTTCCCCATATCTTGTGGGTGCAAAAAGATGAGCAGTTTGGTGGTTTTCCTTCAGTAAGTTAAGATCCCTTCACTTTGTCAGAGCAAAAAATATGGTGGTATTTTCTTTTCTTTAAATTTTTTTAAATGTTTTATTTATCTTTGATGGGGGGGAGGGACAGAGTGAGCAAAGGAGACACAGAATCTGAAACAGGCTCCAGGGTTCGAGCTGTCAGCACAGAGCCTGATGCAGGTCTCTAACTCCGGAATGGTGAGATCATGACCTGAGCTGAAGTTGGATGCTTAACCTTAACTGGCTAGGCCCCCCAGGCCTCCTATGGTGGTATTATTTTTCAAATGTCAGGTGAAATCATCACCAGGAGTTAAGGCCTCCTCATCAGTGTGGATTGTAATAAGCTGGAGGAGAAAATTCCCAAGTTGGGGCACCCCAGGAAGTTTCTGACACTTTAAAGAGTTTCTCAAATGACCATTGCCCACACAAGTGGTTTTGAGACCCTAAATTTGAAGTGAAAGGCACCAAAAAATTCCACGCCTTGTGGCCCAAGGTTGCCCATGGTAGACATCTGACGAGGCCATTGGGAAATGAATTCAGGCTTCACTTTCTCCCTCTGAAACCAAGTCCTGTGGACTCTAGGGACCTGTTCTCTGTTCAGCTTCGCTAATTAATGAGGAAGTGTTGGCCCATCTGCTGGTCTTGTCACTCTGGCTTTCCGGTACTTATCTCCCGATGCTGGTTTTTAAGATCTATTTCTGTTTTCCTGTTTTATTGCATATATTTTTTTCTGCCTCAAATCTGTCATGAAATCTGGTGAGTAACTACTAAGGTAACCAACCAGTTGTCATGGTGTCCTATTTATTAGCTGGTTGAGGAAAATTAAGTTGGGAGTGTCGATTTGTCAAATTTTGTCCCTTTGGCCTCTTGATGATAAGTAATAGTGATACGTCAAGCCAGACTTTATTATCTCCTATGCTGTGTTAAAGTGCAAAAAAGACTTCTTTGAAAATAGGGGATATTTTGAAACCATTTACATTCCTCAAGCACATACATGGTCATGCACTAATGAGCCCATCTTAATGTATATATGACATATTATATTATACATATTAACCATCTTAAATACATGATGTGAAGTGAGAGAGTATGCAAGTTTTAATTCATTTTATCAAGAGAGAAGTAGTGAAAAGGTCAACCAGCTACTTTATGGCTTTCTATTAGCTATTCTGAATCAAGTAGTCTATTCTTCTACCATTTCTAATGTGTTTGTCTTACTAAGAAAAGTATTCTGAAAAAAATAGCAATTTCAGTAATTCTTATTGATGTTACCCAGTGGTCAGTCAAGTTTTTTCCAATCATACTATTGTTTTTTGGTTTTAAGTTGGAAATCAATGATGAAAACCATGATCTGAAAAATCCCTGAAATATATTTAACAGCATATTTTATTATATGTATGTATGTTAGTGTAAAATATCTTTTTTTTTTAAATAAAAATTTTTTTTAAAATTTGTTCTAGGTTTTGGACACACCGTATTTACTAAATGAGAATTGGAAACACTATCTCTCTGGCATGGTGTTTAACAAACCGGATATTAATCTCACTTTTGAACAGGTTTACAGGTATACGTAATTGCATTATGCACTTTTTGCTACTGAAAATGTTGTTGATCCAGAATGAGAATTTTGCTTTCAAAGGGTCTTTAAGCCTGATAAGACTTCCCAGTTTCAGAATTAAGCTGTTCTCTAGTCTTGGCAAAGAGATAGTAGAAATAGGACCAAAAAGAGAATCCTTCTTTCGAAAGCCTTCTAGACTTTGACGTGGTGATGTCTCAAGGTCTCTTTGTCCAGTATGCACTAGACCTCACTAAGGTGACCCTAAGATGCATTAACGAGACCTTCCGAAAACTCTTGTACAGGAATCACCCTGCCCCAAACAAATACCATGTATAACAAGAACTCAGCAATGGGTCCAAATCTCAGTCATGCTAATCATGAAGGAGCTGAAGGGCCAGGCTGTGTGGTCAGGCTGCCTGGGCTCCAGTCTTGGCTCTGCCAAGGGAGCAGGCCTTGGTGATCTTGGGCAGATTCACTTCCTCTCTGTTCAATAGGGTTCAAAGGCTCCCCATTGCCTCTAGCAGAGATAGCAAATGAGTGGCCCATGTGCCCACCCCATTGCACCTCGCCCTCGTGGCAGACATCAGTAGTCGGCTGTGGTCTTGTTCATAGCCTGGAGAGTCCCAGAATCCTTCTCCACAGCGTGTTGTAGGCAGATCTTATCTATCAGTTGGAGTTTCTAGGCACCATTAAACCATCCCTGGGCTGAAAGGACAAAGCCAAACTTCTTGGCCTGGACTGCCAGCTCTTTGTGACTCTGGTTCCTGCAGAGTCTTAACCTCAGTCAGTTCATGTATCAAGCTTACTGCTTCAACAACACCAGCCTGCTCAGGATTCCCTGGAGAGGAGTATCACATCTCCTAGGGATGTGGGAAAGTTGCTTGTCCCAGGCATCCCTCAGCGCTAGAGGGCTCAGGCGGCTGGACAAGGAAGAGGCATTCCCAGGAAGTGGCTGTGTCAGCAGCAAGGATATGCATCAGATGAGGCTGCCATTCTTAGTTCAGTCAAGGAGGCAGTTTGCACACTTTCGAGAAGCACAAAGAGGTGAGGTCAAGGTAGGTGTCCTGACCGTCTGAGTATATGTGGCTGCCTTCCCTATCTCCATCCTGCCATCAGAATACACATCCCGCCATCTGTTAAGTGAGTGAAGCTCAGCCATGAAAATATGGAGGCAGAGGGTCTGATAGGGGTTGGATTGAAACTTTCCATAAAGCCCATGATATGCTTTGCAACATACAACTTTCTAGCACGTATTACTGTTTACTATTTGTTTTTTATGAGAATTGATTTCTTCCCAATTTGTGAACTTGTTACCCCTCATGGCTTTTTTCTAAAAGCACAAAGGAGACAGACAGAAGGATGATTTCCCAGTTTTATTGTACGTGTTCCAAAGATGGAACAGTAGTGAAGTAGGGAACGAAGTCAGGAATGGTGGGCGCTGGGGGTCCACTGGTGACTGCCTCATGCGTCGGCGCTCAGAAGCTGCTTCTCTGCTCACAGATTCAGATAAAAGATAAACCTTGAACCTTTCTCTCCATCCTTAGCAGTGGACAGAGGCAGCCACAGCTGCCTTTCTAGATAATGATTTCTCTGTTTATACCCACAGTGATTGCAAAGAAAATAAAGGCATTTATTCCACACTTAAACTAGAGAACAGCTACAATATCAGTGAACATCTCAATATTCAGGAGGTAAGGAATTGGAACCAATCATGAAATTGACATATTTCTTTAGTCAATCCAGTTCTTTTATTTTCTTAGAAATACTTTTTAAAATTTTTTTAATGTTTATTTTTAGGGAGAGAGAGAGCATAAGTGGTGGAGGGGCAGAGAGAGGGAGAGACACAGAATCCGAAGCAGGCTCCAGGCTCTGAGCTGTCAGCACAGAGCCTAACACGGGCCTTAAATTCATTAACTAAACTGTGAAATCATGACCTGAGCTGAAGTCAATGCTCAACTGACTGAGCCACCTAGGAGCCCCCTTTCATTTTTTTTTTTTTTGAGATGAAATTCACATGAGATAAAATTGGCCATTTTTTTAATGTTTATTTCTGTTGAGAGAGAGAGAGATAAAGTGCTAGTGGGTGAGGGGCGAGAGAGAGAATCCCAAGAAGGCTCCACGCTGTCAGTGCAAAGCCCGATGTGGGACTTGAGCCCACAGAGCATGAGCTCATGTTCTGAGCCAAAACCAAGAGTTGGATGCTTGACCAACTGAGCCACCCAGACTCCCCCAAATTCACCATTTTAAAGTGACATTTCGTACATTTACAAGGTCATGCAACCCTCACTTCTGTCAAATTCCAAAACATTTTCATCACTCCCAATCAGTTGTCTTTATGGATGTATGAGTTTCTGTAGTAGACTACGCAAATGCTCTAGAGGCCTTTCTGTGTGTCAGTGCTCCTAGAGGAACAAACCCTGGGGAGACTGGCTCTCCAACACTGGCCACGCTCCTCTGCCAGGTCCCTGAAGAGGGAACAAGGCATCCAGACTCACATAGTCATGGCCCCTCATGTCTCATGGCTGTGGCCCCCAGACTCCAGGTGGGCTCTGCTGAGCTCTGCTGGCCTTCAGCAAGACTGAGAGCATGGCCACAGTGATGGAAGCAGACAGAGTGGAATGACTTCCTCTTCTCCTTTGCCCAAGCCCACACCCAAGTCTTGAGCCTTAAGACTGAGGAGAGGCCACTCCAGAGTGTACTAGAAGAATAAGGAGCAAGAGAGATTCAGCTGCCCAGGCCTAGGGTGCCATCAGCCTACACTGTCCACCTCCCCATACCTGGAGGCCTTCTGGCCTTTTTGTACAAAAAAACTTAAGGAACCTTCTTTCTTCTGGGCTTCCAAGCAAATACCAAGGATACCAAGGAAAGAGGTGGCTCCCCAAACTCCAGAGCTTGCTCACTGAGGCATCACGAAGGCTTCCAGAGGCACCGTGAAACCACCATGGCCTGACAGTTTTCAGATATGAAGAGGTTTATTTAAAAGCTGAATACAGGGGCACCTGTGTGGTTCAGTGTGTGAGTGTCTGACTCTTGATTTTGGCTCAAGTCATAATCCCAGGGTCATGGAATGGAGCCCGGAGTCAGGCTCTGCACTGGGCGTGGAGCCTGCTTAAGATATTCTGTCTCTCTCTCTCTGTCTCTCTCTCTCCCTCCCTCTGCCCCTCTCCCCCACTCATGCTCTCTTTACATATAATAAAAAGAAGAAATGAAAAGAAAAAAGCTGAATACAAATTTTGCAATGTTTTGTATTTTCCATCGTGTTGATTATCCCCCTTAAACATTCCTTGCACGTACACATAAATAAGACACTACTTAGTAACCAAGCCCTAACCAGATACCCTCTACTCATTTGGCATCATGCCATGTTTCATTTTCCCTGTGGACCAGAAACAGAGCACTAGGGACACGCAGGCTCTACACGCTGCCTGAAACTACGGACTGCCTCTTAGGACAGCCCCAGGTCATCCGCCCATGATCTCAGGTGTCCCCACCACCCAAGCTCAGTGTGCGCTGCCTCCCTCCCCTGGGATGAAGCCTGCCTGGCCCCTTTCAGCACCTGTATTTGTCAGGACTCATTTGGAAGCCACTTCCTCTCTGGTGTCCTCTCCAGTCCCCTACTTTTGAAAACTGTCACCGGTGCCTGGCGTCCTGATGCAGTTCATGTGCCTTTATTATGACACTGCCTCTTCCTTGAGGACTTGGAGGGTGGAGGTGGAATATTATTTTGCTCTGCATCTGACCTCCTCACCTAGTGCTTAGCATGGGGCATAAGGAAGGAGCCAGGGAAACAGAGAAGGGGTGAAGGGGAAGAGAAGATTACTGGGAAGAAATGCCAGTCAGATGCATGTCTATATTTTTTGTCTCTTGTCATTTTATTGCTCTTTTAAAACATAAAGCGTGTGACTATCTAGAAGAATGGACTTATTTATAACTTTTCTTTTTATCTTGCAGCATGCTGGAAACATAAGCAATGATTTTCAAAATATGAAAGTAAATATTGACAATATCGTTCTGCTGGATGAAGCAGGAAGAAAAAACCTTATGGATTTCGGCCTTTCGGGAATAGACACCATAAATTATAATGTCTATTTGGCTGAGGTGTGACCATGAGTTCATGCTGGACCCTTTGGGAAAAATAACAGCAGATACCCATGGGTTTGGGGTTTTTTTTTCTTTTTTTTTGGCTTTGTTTTGTTTTTATTTTTGGTGGGTTTTTTTTTTAAGTTGACACCCAATTTATATAACACGAATGAACTATTTTAAAGTGAACAATTCATTAGCACGTAGTATAATCACAGAATTACACAACTACCACTTCTATCCAACTCCAAAACATCTTCATCACGCCAAAGGAAAGCCCCATTCCCATTACACAGCTGTTCCCCATTCCGCACCCCTCCCACCCCCCCAGTCCTGGTAACCACGCATCCATTTACCCATTCTGGATATTTAGTTTGAATGGAATCCTAAGGCATGTGACCTTTTGTGTCTAATGGCCTTAATCCCCTCTCCCCCCATTTCATGTAGCCTAAAGTTTTTGAGATCCATCCCCATTATAGCACGGAGCAGTACTTGATTTCTTTTTACGGCTGGATGTGATTGGATAAAAATAATATGACTTTATATGGATTCAGAGGAATGCAGCTGCTTTCACCTGTGTGAGAGCTTCCAGTCCTTACTGCCATGGACCATCATTCACTCTGTTGTCTGTCAGATGCCGGTAAGGCCTAAAAATCCCACACCGATCACATAGTTGCTTTCCCTGTTTTGCAGATGAGTAAAGCCCCTACCAAAGTGAATCTTGTATCCTTTGCAGATGATCTAGAAGTAAAAGCCAACCGTTTGGTGAGTTCAAACAGTCGGATTTTAAATGCTGTAATCGTTACGGATGTCAAATGTCAGTACTACTCTTTGCTCCCTTACACCACAAGGAAGCTTTGGTTAAAGACGCATCTCCTGTGCAGGTCAGGACTTCCCACCAGTAGCCATTGCCGTGGGGCCCAGAAGTCTGTGAGCACATGGGTGTTTCCAGGGTGGCTTCAGAGTGCATGCACCTGCTCCCGACTTCTGCTGGTGGTGCGGGTGCCCTCACTGCTTCAGCACCAGCTCTGTTTTCACCCCATCAACCCCTGTACCACCAAACACATGTGCATGAGCACACACACCATTTTTCTTGCAGTGTAGAGAATGGAAACTGAGGACTTGGAAGGGGGATTTCCATCTGGTCCTTTGCATCGCTAATAGCAGGTGGATGAGGAAAGGCAAAGACACCACTCAAGCCCCATAAGCTTCCCTTCCTCACTTCCCCTGCCAGCTGGTGACTAAATGGCTATCATGAATGGAGCAGCAGAGCATGGCCATGGGGAACCTGGGCTCTGGAGGAAGACTGGGATTTAAGTCCTGGCTCAGCCACTTCCTAATTATGGGAACTTGGACAAGATGTTTCACCACTCTGTGCCTTAGTTTCCTCACCTGTAAAATGAGAGCAGTAAATTTGCTCATTACTATATGAGCACATTAATGTATCACACAATACTATAATAAACACTATTTAAGTGTGGGTTAAATGAAAGATTTCTCAGTTGAGCCTTTGTGTTCTCATCTGTAAGATGGGGCTATCGCTGCTGTGAAGTGGCTTTCTAGTGGCTGTATTATGCTGAAGTGAGAAAGAGAGCACAGCCTCTGGCACTCAGGAAGGGCTAATGGGTTTGGGTGGCCACTCAGAGTTCATGGTCCAGTGATTTGAAGTAGGGTGTCTTGGCGCTGCCCCATGCCCGATGGGCCGCACGCCCACAGCATCCAAGGTCATGCTGGTCACGGCTACCCTGCCCCTGAGCCCCTGTGGCTAGAGAGAGTGCTCCGAAGTCTAGAAGGATGGTGTTAATCTTTGATTATTTTATTCTCTTTGCAGCCCCATGGAAATTTGAAACAGTCCCTGAAAAATAATGCACAGACAATCAGAACGATTCACCATGGCCAAGTCGTCCCTTTGGAACAGTCAATGGTAAGACTCAGCAACCTCTGGTATCTCCCCGTGACCCGAGCAAAACCCATTTCACTAGTTGGCTTTCATGTAGCCTAAGGAAGCATCTGCATCTCAACTGGGTGAAATCCAGTTGGCCTCAGGCTAAGGGAACTGAGCTCTCTGAAATACAAATGAAATTTAGGGCACCTGGGTGGCTCAGTCACTTGAACGTCCCACTTGGTTTCAGCTTAGGTCATGACCTCACGGTTCATGGGTTCTCAAGCTGCTAGCCCAGAGCCTGCTTGGGATTCTCTCTCTTCTCTCTTTGCCCTCCCCCCCCATTTCCTCTCTGTCTCTCTCAGTCTCTCTCTCTTTCTTTCTCTCCCTCCCTCTCTCAAAAATTAAAAAAAAAATAAAAACTTTGAAAAATCAATCAATAAATGGCAATAGATGGGCTTTAAAGAAGACAGATCTTCAGTGTTACCGCTTCTCTTGTGCTTCAGCTCCTTGCCTTTTCCACTTGTGTGTGACCAGGTAGGTTAACTCTGTGCTTGCCCCACACACTGCGCTCTGGCTCCCTTGGGTTCGATAGGCCCCGGAAGGCAGGCACCTCGCTGGGGCGCTGATGTCTGTGTTCTGCACTCACTTGCACTTATTCTCAAATTCTTTTTCTCCAAACCCTGACAAGAAATATGGGAAGGCAAGGGTAAGTCCTTTTCTCTCTGCCTCATTTAGCTCTGTTCACTGATCCGATGGGCCATATTCCTTGTCTCCCTCTCTAGTAGCCTCTATTCTGACTTCCCCTTTCTTTGGCTTCTCACTGCCTTCTGGCTTCTTTCCCAAAGGCAGTTTCCCTTCTGTCCCAGAAAGGCAGTTTGTAGCAAAGAGAGAACACAGGCTCTGCAATCAGGAGGAGCTGATCTCAGATCCTGCTTCTGCCTCCCCAAAGCCTTATAGCTTTCTGTTTTCTCATCTGAAATGGGGGGGAAAGTTCCTGCCTTCCTGTTCCCTGCACCCTAGAGATGAAAGCCCTGATGTGCCAGAGAGACTCTGTAAACAGGAGGGATTCTTATTACACTCCTGCGGGAGACCTGTTACAGAGTCGGCTTGCTCAGGTTTGGAGAAGCATATTAGTCCCCTAGACTTCAACTTTGGAACCTCCTAGAAGTAGTTTTTACCATCTCCATCTCTCTCTCCCTCTCTTCCTTCCTGACTTTCTAACTCATCAGAGTATTCAGAAATAAAACTGAATTCTTATTGTGTGTGCTGCACTCATAATTCTCTGCTCTATTTGTTTATGCCTAGCACAAATTTGTTAACATTTTAAGCTGATTTTTCCATGTTCCTTAGATGCTTTCCTTCAAGCAGACACAGCCTTGTTGGCCTTTGCAGAATTGAGGCAATCTGTCTACAAATAGGCACATTGCTGTGTCAGGTGACCTATGATGTAAACCAGGGGTTAGCAAACTATGGCCCCAATACAATCTGTGAGCCAAATCCAGCCTGTTGCTTGTTTTTGTAAATAAAGTTTTATTGGAACGCAGCCATGCCCTCTTATTTACAGATGACTGCAGCTGCTTTCTGCTAAAAGAGCAAAATTGAGTGCTTTGGACACAGTGTGGCCCACAAAGCCTAAAATATTTCCTATCTGGCCTTTGTTTTACCAATCCCTGACCTAAGCCATTCAGATTAAACTACTCTGGGAAGTGTGGGTAGACTTTTGTAAGTAGTGCCTGCCACACTGAGAAAACCTGACTCAGAGTGGTTTCTTGGACACCTTGTGTGGGACGCGCCGCCCTTCAAAGCTCTAGAATACAGACGCTGATATTCTTCTTCCGCTTTTCTTACACCAGAGCTATATGAGGCACACATGGTTACTTGCATCTGCTGTTGTTTCTAGAATGAAACCATTGCAGAATAAAGTTGGATTTAAGGGCTGGCTGGGGAAGAGGGGGAGAGCAGAGGCACAAGACATGTGATCTTGCTGGTACATGTAATAAGTTGGAAAATATTATGTACGTTTGTTCACCAGAGCTCTACATACCAAAGCATCAAGGAACTTCAACAAAAAAGCAGTGGATTGGAGGTAAGGACTAACTTTCCTTTTCTGCCATGGGGTCTTATTGTAAAAGCACACACAGACTTTCAGAGATGTTGGTTTTACAAGTATTTAAAATTTAAAAAAATACCCTTTGGGTCACCTAGCTAGCTTAGCCAGTAGAGCTCATGACTCTTGATCTCTGGGTTGTGAGTTCAAGCCCCACATTTGGGGATAGAGTTCACTTTATATTTAAAAAAATTTTTTTTAACATTTATTTATTTTTGAGAGACACAAATAGACAGAATGTGAGTTAGGGGAGGGGCAGAGAGAGGGAGACACAGAACCCAAAGCAGGCTCCAAGCTCTGAGCTGTCAGTACAGAGCCTAATGCGGGGCTCAAACTCATGAACCGTGAGATCATGACCTAAGCCGAAGTCAGATGCTTAACTGACTGAGCCACTCAAGCGCCCCAGGGAGTAGAGTTTACTTTTAAAAAACAAAAAAGGGTGGGGGGGACGCCTGGGTGGCTTAGTCAGTTAAGCATCTGACTTTGGCTCAAGGCATAATCTCACAATTTGTGGGTTTGATTCCGCCTCAGGCTCTATGCTGATGGCTCAGAGCCTGGAGCTTGCTCGCTTCAAATTCTGTGTCTCCCCAACTCTTTTTCTGCCCCTCTCCCACTTGTGCTCTGTGTGTGTTTCTCTCACTCAAAAATAAACAAACATTTAAAAACTTTTTTTAAAAAAAGTTTGGTTATTCATCCATTTTAAATGCCAAATTGGGATTTCCTACCACTTGCTTCCTGCAAGTACTTCTCACCTTGACATACTGTTAGATACATGGGTGAAAGCTGTGTGTTGACGTGTAGAAAGTAAGCTTAGAAGGTACACTGGTCACTTTTACTGAAATAGTGCTGCTTACAAAATCCAGTGCCTTTGACCACAGACTCATTCACCACTGGGTCGACTTCAGGATTGTCCACCTACCTTCCTACCCAGAGACCCAGACTGAGGGAGCAGCTCCTTTCTGGGCCACCTCACGTCCTCAAGGTAAAGGACAGGAAATCCGAGGGTGAATGGAAACACAGACTGTCCTTTAAGCAGCTTCTTAGAACCAGCCATTCCATCTATGTTCCATTAGCCAGAGCAAGTGAGGCTGCCGGGATCATCATCACGGGCTGAGATGCCAGAGCTCGAAAGGTATCCCTGGTTAGGAACAGCAAATATAGTCAACTACAGGGGCGTCCTTTGGACCACAGACACCCCCATAACAGAAACTGAGCTCCATGGCTATGATGCGTTCATCTGGTACCCTCAATGCCAATGAGAAACTCAGAAAATATTTCTTTATTGAGCAGAATAGGCTGCCCAGGAGGGGTTTGGGATGTCGGCCCACAACAGAAAATCCCAGGTTCCTCCCTGCACTTCTCTCTGAGCTCTTTTTGCAGACCTTTGTCACAGGGCTTCTTGCTATGTGTGACTGTGTGTCCCCTGTGAACCGTGATCTCCTTCACTAGTAGGTAGTGCAGTCCCCGGGCAGCAATGGGCCTGCATCTTTGTTGACACAGGAGACCCTGAGTTCCCCTGAAGGCTCTTCTATGAGGTTTGGGGTCTGCTTGGGGACTGTCACTGTACCTTTTGTGACAGTTACCATTTCACACATGTGCATGTCCTGGACCAAGGGAAACCGAGGACAGACTGGTAACTGTGTGCAGATCCCTTGCCATCCTGCGTATCTGGACGTTCAGGATGATGGCATGAGCTGCGCGTTGCCTCTCACCAGAGGCCAGTGTGGGGGCTAGTTGGGGTGGAAATCTGTCTTTGACCCGCTGGCCAGGCTGTGTGCCCTGAGGTCTCTGGGCAGAACAGAAAGGATACCTTTTTTAATTTACATCAAGCTACCATGTCGGAATTCTTACCTGTGTCAAGAAACTAGGTGCACATCCCAGCTCTTATGCCCCCAACCTGGTGATGTCGAGCAGGGTCAGCTACCTCTTCTGTGAAGGGGGCCTGATAATGCCTTCCTACAGCCTGTGAGTACAAAAGCCCCCGCTATCCATAGGGGATACTATCCATGGCATCAGTGGATGCCACAGGTTGTTCTGAACCCATACATGCATAGCTATAATAAAGCTGAATTTATAAATTAGGCACAGTAAGAGGTTAACAACAATAATCAATAATTAAATAGAACAATTATAACAATGTACTGTACTAGAAGTTATGTGAATGTGGTGCGTCTCTCAAAATTTCTTACCGTATCAATTCACACTTCTTGCAAGGATGTGATGTGGTAAAAATGCCTGCGTGGTGGAATGAAGTAGGCATGTGAGGTAGTGTTAGGCTGCTGTCGGCATTTCTAACCATATATCAGAAAGAGGATCATTGCCTCTGGATTCCGAGTAACAGAGACAATGGATAAGAGGGAGCTCCTATATGTAGGGAGGCAATTTGGATCAAGGGTCTGACCCAGCGTCTGGCACAATGTGAGTGCTCAGTGTGTAATTCTCTTGTTCCCCTGTCCTCAGAGGGCTGGGCTGGCTCTGTCGTCTTCTTGACTAGCAAGTCGTGGAGGTGTGGGGCTGAGCTGACAGCACCAGCATGAACAGCTGACAGCACCAGCATGAACAGGCAAACTAATAAAAATCCCTTCATCACGTGATACCCTTTCAATTGCTGTGTTTTCCAGATGAAAGTGACCAATACCATTTCCTCTTTGGATTCTGCTCAGGACTTCCTCACAACCCGTATTTCCTCAGTTATTGTTGAAGTAAGTTTCCTTTTTTAAAAAATAAGTGTGCCAGTAAGTGGATGTGTGCCCATAACTACATGACTGCACAGCATCCTTTTAAAGGTTTTAATACCCTTTGATTTCTTTCCAGGAAAGTCAGAAGTATGGGAACACGATAGTAGGATACTTTGAACGCTATCTGCAGTGGGTCAAGATCTCAGTAAGTAGTTTCTCTTTTATGAACACAAGGGGCCATGTGTTAGGATGGTCATATTCTAGGATACAATCAGGATGAAATAAATTTAAACTCCTAGCAATTGGGTAGGAGATAAGTCAAGGGCCTTGAACATGGGGGCCATCATGGGAAGTGGCATAAGACGCAGCACATGTCATCCACGCTGGACCCCTTCTCAGGGCTGCCCATCAAGCGGGAGAATGTGGCCCTCGCATTTTCCCTCAGCTCCCTTGCTCACCATTATAGGGGCTCCTGCCATAATTGACTGTGTCTTCCCAGTGAACTTGAGCTCCTTTTGCATTGGTTGCTTGGGCAGTGCTTAGTCTGCCATGTTGTTGGTATATCAGTCGACTAAGGGTGGCTTGAGCTATAGAAATTTGTTTTCTCACAATTCTGGAGGCTGGAAATCCAAGATCAAGGTGTCAGCCATATTGGTTTTTTTAGAGTCCTCTCTGCTTGGCTTGTAGACAACTCTCTTCCCTGTGTGTCTTCACAAGTTTTCCTTCTATGCATGTCTGTGCCCAAATTTCCTCTTCTTTTATAAAAGTATCAGTAACATTGGATTAGGACTCAACCCTAATGACCTCATTTTAACTGAATTGCCTCTTCAAAGACCCTGCCTCCAATGCAGTCACATTCTGAGATACCAGGAGGTAGGACTTTAACACAAGAACTTTTGGGGAACACAATTCAGTTCACAGCAGTTGGGTCTCCCTGAATACGTTAGAAGAGGAAAGCTGAGGAGCAGAGTACAGTTTCCAGTGGTTTCAAGGGAGCACTTTGTTCCCAGCAGCCAATTTGTGGAGAATTATAGTGTCTTGGAAAATACCTTTTGTCTTCTTGGGCTCTGGGCCAGCTCCTCTCTGTGAAGATTATTCTATTGGGACAGGGTTTGAGGGGGAGATACTTGCAACTGAGTTACTTGAGTAACTTTGGCTACTCACTGCTAACCAAGACAGGCTTTGAGAAGTCTAGGGACTTGGGAAAATTTCAACTACCCTCGAGTGGCCATCAGCTTCTCACCTTTATTCCCAGCCCTTGGCCATGTGAGCCCAGACTACCAGCCATCTCCTCCCTCTTTGCTGCCCCACCTGTATTCCAGCCATACCCAAATGCTTGATTCTCTGAAACTTTCACATTTCTCCATGTGATTTCCTCTGTGTCGTATCCCCCGCCCCAATCCCAACCTCTAGTCCCCACCATCGGGGCCTCGTAGCTGGTTCTCCTTCATGGCTCAGCTTCCTGATGTCTGTGCTGACACGTCCTCCAGCCTCCCCGATGTGAAGACCTCAGGGTCTTCTCAGTGCTGGCACGAAGCGTGTGCACACGCAATGAGTAGTGGCAGAACAGATGTATTATCATCACTGCTGCGTTGGCCACCAGACCCTGTGCATCAGCTCCACCAGATCAAGGAACCACATTTTAGTCACATCCATTGCCAGAAAATGAAACAAATACCCTGAAACCAAAATGAATCTGAACAGGAATGGTTAAGTCATACAAGAGCCACATCATGGGAATATTAGGTGGCTGTTGGTATGAAATGGATCAGAGCTAGGCCATGGGGCTAGGAGAGATTTTCACAGGGTATAAATAAAAGAGAAAAGAAAGATACAGAAAGCATACAGAGTATTACTCCAACCTTAGTTTTTGCAAAACCAACAGTGAAAAAGCCTATGAAGAGACAGTACAGGGTTGTTTGAGCTCGGTGAAAATAAATTGTTAACATGGGTGGCCTTGGAAGGTGTACGTGGTAGAAGAAAAGGGGCAAGTTTGCCAACCAATAAAGGAAAAGAGCTAACATCTAGCTCATTGTAGGTACTCAAAGGTTGTTTTCATTTTTTTAAGATTTTCTTAGTTTATTTATTTATTTTGAGAGAGACAGAGACAGCGAAAGTGGGGAAAGGGCAGAGAAAAAAGGAGAGAGAATCCCAAGCAGTCTTCGCACTGTCAGCACAGAGCCTAACATGGGGCTCAAACCCCCAAAACCATGAGATCATGACCTGAGCTGATAGCAACAGTCGGACGCTTAACTGACTAAACCATCGAAGCACCCCCAAATTTTTTTAAATGAATAAGTACAGCTTTCTTAAGTCAATGGGATTGGAGCTTCTGTTTGGGATTTATTAAATGTGTTTATCTTAAACTCATTAATGAGTACATAGTTTTCTGTCTTCTAAATTTTTATTTTAAATTTTAGAGAGTGTTTGTGAGCCGGGGAGAGGGACACAGGGAAAGACAGAGTGAATTTCAAGCAGGCTCCATGCTCAGCACAAGCCCAATGTGGGGCTTGATCCCACAACCCTGAGATCATGACCTGAGCCAAAATCAAGAGTTGGACACTCAACTGATTGACCCACACAGGGCCCCTATTTTCTTCTTAATTTATTTTTATTTTTTTGTAGTTTCCTGTCTTCTAAAATGGGGTCCACAGGTAGCACTTGTTTTTGTAAAGACAGTTTTATTGGCACATAGCCACCCCCATTTGTTTATATATCATCTGCGGTTCCTTTCACCATTTTTTTCATAGTCCAGCACTTGGAACAGAAATGTCTCAGTCTGTTCTGAAAGTCGAAATTTACGCTCTGACCCTTTCTTTTTAATTTATTAGTGTTTTTTATTATTTTTAATGTTTATTTTTTTTTGAGAGAGAGACAGAGCATGAGCAAGGAAGGAGCAGAGAGAGAGGGAGACACAGAATCTGAAGCAGGCTCCCGGCTCTGAGCTGTCAGCACAGAGCCCAGTGTGGGGCTGGAACCCATGAACCGTGAGATCATGACCTGAGCTGAGGTCCGATGCTTAATCAACTAAGCCACCCAGGCACCCCTACTCTGTGGCCCTTTCTAGAAAAAGTTTGCCAAGCCCGGGTCTAAAACATATAATTATTGATTTACTAGCTTTCCATTTTCTTCCACATCCTTTGTCAGATCTCAAAAAGATCAGGTAAGAAATTCAGACCGAGACTGTACCTGACACTTGTACTTCATTCTCTCAGAAGTCTGGTAAGGGTGGGTGTTATGGTTCCATAAAACAAGTGCAGAAACCAGAGACAGAGGGGCAGAGAGAATCAGCATCTTGCATTCAAGTACCTGCTTTTAAACATTGTCAAATTCATCCATAGAAATCCGTGCTCTGCTCCGGGTCGTAGAAGGTGTAGATATCCTTTTTGTGAAAACAGGTCAAAGATAAATGGCACGTCTAATTCTTGTGGATTTTCGTGTGTGGCTGTGTTCACCTGTGTTTCTTACCCTGTAGATTACTGAGAAAATCGCAGCCTGCAAACCTGTGGCCACCGCTTTAGACTCTGCTGTTGACGTCTTTCTGTGTGGCTACATTACCGACCCCATGGTAAGAATTCCATCTTTCAAAATAAGGAAACACAATAAACTCCTCAGTCTTCGTTTTTTGTTTGCAGAGGGTAGCACACACTATGATATAAAATAGTTCTGTGTTTGGGTCTGTTAACAGTTGCAGAATCTAAGACCTGAAATCTAAAATTTAGATGAATGTGTTAGGATACCCACTAGATTGAGAAAAGTGAAAGACCTGGCTGCCTACCTTTGTTCCTTAACTTGACTTATATTTATAGAAGCCAGGAGACCCTCACAAAGGAAACTCTTATTTGTGCAGAACAATTGGAAAGGAGCCGTCACTAGTGTGCAGACTGCCAATATTCAAAAGGATTCTTAATGCAACTATATATATACAATCCCAAAGCTACAGCAAACTTAATTTAATTTAGATTTAAAAGACCTTTGAGATATTCCCTTTGGGATGTTAAGTTCCAATTAATCAAGTTTATTCCTCAGCTCTATTCACTCCTCAATATACACTGAATGTCTCTGAGAGCTTTCCCTCTCCCTTCCCCCTGCTTAAAGTGCCCCAGTGGCTTCCTATGGCTGTCACAGTGTTTTCTTTCACTTCTTTAAATATATCTCAATTGCCCTACCTCAGGACCTTTGCACATGCCATTTCTGCTGCCTGGACTGGAAGTCTCATTCTGTTACTCTCTCTCATTCTTCCCCTCCACACCCACACTCAGCCTGGTTAACTCTAGCTCTAAGTCTGCCAATGAATGAGAATATAGACTCTGGATTCAGATTCTACATCTACATTTTCTGAACTCCATGACTTTCAAAAATTATTGAACTTTTCTGGGCTTTATCACCTAAATGGGGCTGTTCAGTGAGAGATTATATTTAAAGACTTTAACACCATACCTGGAGCATTAACACTCAATACATGTTCACTATTATTATTGAGCAGTTTTCAGGTCTTAGCTAAAACATTTATTTTTTCCAGGAAGCCTTTTCTGATCTTCCCAAGTAGATTGGGCTCCCTTTTATACACTCCCATAGAATCCTATGCTTTTCCTTTGGAGATGTTATTGCTGTTTGAATTGTACATTTGTGTGGTTCTTTGATTAAGACCCATCCATTTCAGGCGCGCCTGGATGGCTCAGTTGGTTAAGCATCTGACTCTTGCTTTTGGCTCAGGTCATGATCTCACAGTTCATGGGATCGAGCCCCATATCAGGTTCTGTGCTTGCAACATGGAGCCTGCTTGAGATTCTCTCTCTCCCTCTTTTTCTGCCTCTGCCCCCCCCCCCAATAAATAAATAAGCTTAGAAAAAAGAGAAAAGACCTGTCCCCTGCAACACACTCTAGACTGTCAACCCCCTGAGCAGAGGGCCTGTGCATTGCTCTGTCTCTGTCATCTGGCATATTGCCTAGCACAGGCAATTGAATGAAGGAAGGATGATCAAACAGCTCTCTGTCCAAGTACATCTGTATTGCTCCATCTGTCATCTCCCTGTCCCACTCCCACCCACATGCCCATCTACCTGCAGGCTGGACTTTCACCCCTGAATGGAGACACTCCTGTCCTCTCCCAGCCACACAGATCCAAGGTTTGGCTTCCTGGCCGCTTCCCTCCTTCCCAGCCCCTAACCTCTTTGATCTGCTGCTTGGACCCCTGCTGATGGCTTTGTAGGTGTGCCCTGGGCTAACCTGGTTGATTCTTTTTGTTTTATACTGTTTATTTATTTTTGAGAGAAAGAGAGACAGACCTAGAGACAGAGCATGAGATGGGGAGGGGCAGAGAGAGAGGGAGACACAGAATCGGAAGCAGGCTCCCGGCTCTGAGCTGTCAGCACAGAGCCCAATGTGGGGCTCGAACTCACAAAGAAAGAGCCCTGGGCATTGATTTTGCCAGGAAAGTAGACTCCAGGATGCTCAGCGTGTTTCTTTTATACCTTGATTGTTCCTGAAAGAATAAGGGCAGCTTCCAGTAAAATGTATGGTTGTCCTCAAGCTCTAAAGCCTCTCAAAGCAAGGTTTGAAACCATGGAAATCTACCAGTAAAAGAACGTGTGGGGAAAGGAGAAGAAATTTACTGGAATTCTGGGCCAAGAGGCGCCACTGCCATTCCACAGTGCTCTCTGCCAGGAGGAATGCGGAACGTCAGTGGCTGAGCTGTGACGGTTGGGGGAGGGGAGCGTCACTGTCACAGCCAAGCTGCCTTTTGCCTCCCGGGGGGGCTGGGGACGCTGTGCTGGTGTTACCTACAACATCACCCTAAGGCAGCGGCCGCAGACCTGAACCCCTGCAGGGATCTGGCAGATCGTACATTTACAAAGTGGGGCAAGTGTAAGACACTGGCTGGTGTATGGCGCCCATGGGGTCTCGCAGCTGCGTCTCCTCTGATGGGTGGAGAAGGTTAAATAGCTTTGGGCGTCACCCCTGCAAGAGCTGGTGGCGTGGCCGGGCCCCAGCTGAACACAGACCTTCCCGATGGAAGAGCCACCGCTCCGCAGCTGGCTGCTGGTGCTGCCTCGTGGGGCTGGGGGCTCAGTTATGGCACTGAACTTGCAGGCTTTTTCTAGAAAGACGTTAACTCCAGGTTTCTATGTGAAATCTGACTTAGGAATGTTGGCAACTATTTTTTGAAAATACCTTAACCTGCTTTTTAAACAAAACGAGATTGAAGGCAGCCTATGATCTACCCTTAAGATTGGTTAAGTTAAGGGGCGCCTGGGTGGTTTAGTCGGTTAAGCGTCCGACTTTCGCTTAGGTCATGATCTCGCGGTTCGTGGGTTCGAGCCCCGCGTCGGGCTCTGTGCTGACTGCCAGCTCAGAGCCTGGAGCCTGTTTCAGTCTGTGACTCCCTCTCTCTCTGACCCTCCCCTGCTCACGCTGTCTCTCTCTCTCCTAGAAATAAATAAAAAAATATTAAAAATAAAAAAAAAAGATTGGTTAAGTTAAATATAGAATGTTTGTCGAGAGCCTAGTAGGGACCAGGCGCCGATCCTGCCTTCTCCACTCAATAGCGTTACGGGATGAAGATGCCTCCGTCCCACTGTTCTGATGCAGAGCAAAGCCAGAAAGGTGAATTAGCGGCATCGAACAACTCAGAAAACGGATTCGCCATGCCCCTATCATTGGCAGCAAAGGGACCCCATCCGGTGGGGTCCTAGATGCAAATCCTTGTTTCCCCGCATGCTCCCACTGTTCCTCATTTGTAAAGTAAATATAATAATGGGATCGATTCAAGGTTTCCAGAAAGATTTAATGAATTGCAGCAATATGCAGCCCTTCACACAGTGTATGACTCCTGTTGCATTTACAAATGGTTTCAGTGAACAAAATCAGATCTCATTAAAACAATTGCAAAAAAATAAATAAATAACTGCTGCTTTCTATCTCCCCATCTTGAGGCATCTGATCCTCCCAATTTTATCTTTTTTTTCCCCCAGAATTTGTTTTGGTTCGGCATAGGAAAAGCCACCATATTTCTACTTCCGGCTCTCATTTTTGCTGTGAAGCTGGCCAAGTACTACCGTCGAATGGATTCAGAGGATGTGTATGATGAGTAAGTAGACAAGTTTCTGCAGATGCTGGGGGGGGGGGGGGGGGGGGGCGGGGAGGATACTTTCTAAGTGGTACTGACTTCAGTACAAGCTCTGATGAGATTAAACTTGGTCCTTTTTTAAAGTAGGGGGTCATCTCTGGTCAGGTGTCTTCTTGGTACCCATTTTCTTATGCTTGTTTTAACTGTTCTCCTTCTTCCTTAATCTTCTCAGTGTCCTTAACCAGCCTTCTTATTTCTTGTTTGCAGTTCCTCTGTCTTGGGGATTTGGCACTTTACTTTATAGCTGTGTTTACTAGTGTTCACTTTGACTCTGTAGTGTACACCTCTCTGCTCCGCTTCATTTTTCACTCCATTCACCTCCTTCTTGACCTGTCTCTCCTGAATTTACTCGGTTAGCATCTGTATTAGGGTAAAAAAAAAATGTGGGGGATGCAGCTGTTGAGCTGTGATCGTAACTTAAAAAAAATAATTGTATCTCCCTTTTTAGTATTTTATAGTGCTGAAACTGTATCCGTCAAAAAGTAAGCCTTTTCTTTTTTAAAACCATATTCCAAAGTTGGGATTGGGGAGGTCTTTATTATTACATGATGAACTTTTAAAACAGAATCAATAGCATCTTAAAATTACATGACAATATTAGATATGGTGAGATAAAAATCAGTGCTGATGCCTCTTACAACAGGGCTGGCCCACATAAAATAGTGAAGAAATACTAGTTGAATTAATGATATTTTTATAGGTTACGTTTATTAATATATAAAATGGTTGTTTCAGTATTTGGTTTTTAAAGGGAGCAGAATGTGAAGATAGCTTTTTTTTTTACTCTTTGTATATTTAACAAATTGTCACATGCTTTTCATGACCTTTGCATTACCTTTGTAACTCACGATGTGAATACTTCATCTTAGAGATAACATGGTGTTTTTGGTGTATTTATTTTTGTTACAGTATGGAAAATGGTAATATTGGTTTTCATAGACATCATTCCACTCAGACTGTATGAGCACAGTTTTTAAGCAGATCCAACGGCACAAGTTCTTGATCTACAGCATCTCCGAATACTGGAAAAGAAACTTTCCCTTCCGGAGTTTACAGAGTCTAGTGATTTTATATGCAACATTCATTGACACGCCAAAGAGTGACAAGCGTGTGTTCACACCTGTTTTGGACTTTGTTTTGTTTTATCTCTAGAAGTTTTGCTTTAGTCATCTGAGCCTTCAATGAAAGTTCCAGTATGTGATACATTCATTCATTTCCAGTTTAGCTTTCGGAACAAGTCATGAATTGTGTCACATTTCATTACTTGGGAACCTAGACTTGTAGCGAGACAAAACCCAGCAGATAGCAGATGTGTGTGTGAGCAATAAAAGATTGATTTCAGAAATCTGACTCTAATATTCTTATTGAAACACATACCTAAATTATAGATGCCAATTACGTCACTGTGTCATTTTCTCAAGGCTGCCGTAACAAATTACACAAAGCGCGTGGCTTAAAGCGGCAGAAGTGTCTTCTCCCACAGTTCTGGAGGCCGGGAGTCTGAAATACATTCATCAGCACAGCTGGGTCCTCCGAGGGGGTTCTGCTCAAGAGTCTGTTCCATGCCTTTTTCCTAAATTCTCACAACTGAGATGATTCATAGCGTTCCTTGGACTCTCACCTCCAGTCTCTGTCTCTGTCTTCCCGTGGAGTCTTCCTTGTGTGCCTGTGTCCAGATTTCCCTCTGCTTCTAAAGAATCATTGGATCAGAGCCCATCCTAATCAAGAAGGACCTCATCTTAATGTCATCACATCTGCAAACAACCTATTGGCAAACATTCCCAGGTTCTAGGTGGATATGAATTTGGGAGGGAACAGCATTCAAGCCAGCGCGGTCACCCAACAGCTACAGCAAATAGCCAAATAGATAGGTAAGGTAACTCGAAGGAGATCAACATTATATGCACTATACACTATACACACTAAACACTATACACACAATGCACACTATTCAGTATACATTATACACACACTATACACTATGTACACACTATACGCACTATACAAACTATACAATATACACCATGCACGCACTATATGCACTATAAACACAGAAACTAACAAATTACCAAAATCACAAAAGATAGAAAAATTACAAATTTTATTAAACACATAAAAATACTGACTGATCCCCCTCTTAATTTTAAGTTCACCTTTACTTAAGAACACATTAGTACCCCACTGCTTGTGATCATAAAGTGTCTCTTCATCTAAGGCCATGATGCCCGGCCCCTGTCACACAGTGGACTCACATGGCTGATGCTTACATCCTGCCCTTACAGACTTGACATAGCTGGCAAGGGGTGTGGCTTGAGCATGTGGATTCTTAAATTTCCCCAGGTGATTTAATAGATGGCCAAGGTTGAGAAACACTTTCCTGGATTCACAGAACCACTTTCTGGGCTCCATCTCATGTAGTTCCCATGCAGCCTGGCTTGAGAACTATAAATACAGCTCTACATGTGTTTTGTCCAATTAATAGGTAATTATTTATCATCTGCTATGTCCCAAGCAAGTGCAAGACACTGATGGAGGAGAGGTGAGCTAACAGATTGGCCCAACCTCCTAGAAGCTCAGTGTCAGTGTTAGAACCAAGACAACACATTGGAGGTGTGTGAGAGACACAGAAGCCGGTGGGGGGGGGGGGGGCATGGGAAGTTTGCTGTCATTGAGTTCTAAAATTATATGAACCAAACATCTACTATGACAGACCTGTCAAATCTGTTTCTTTTTTGTTTCTTTTTTTTTTTTTTTTTAGTTTATTTTAGAGAGAGAGCACGAGCAAGGAGAGGGGCAGAAGGAGAGAAATAGAGCATCTTATCAGGTTTTATGCTCATCACAGAGCCCGACATGGGGCCCAATCCCATGACCTTGGGTCATGACCTGAGCCAAAATCGAGTTGGACACTCAACTGACTAAGCCACCCTGGTACCCCTCAAATCTGTTTCTTATAAAAGTTCCATGCCTCTCACTTGTCCCCTCATACAATCCTTATTACATCCCTATGAAGTTAGAAATTTTATTCCCAATTATAAACGAAGTGACTGAAAGCTTAGAGAGGTGAGTTGCCTATATCACACAGCTCATGTGTCGGGACCAGAAGAAGAGCCAGGTCTTCCAGAATGTAAACCGCTGGCTCTCAGTCATGCACATCACCAGCTAGGGTGGGTTTTGGCCCAAACCATTTCCTAACCTACCCTAATCTTTCAAGCTAGAGCCATGTTGTAGCTGTCTGCTATTTTCTAATGACGAAATGTGATATAAATCAGTGCTACTCAAAGTGTGGCCTGAACACCAGAAGCATCTGGATGGCCTGAGGAGCTGTAGGAATGTTAATTCTCAGACTCCACTCCAGATACACTGAATCACAGTCTCTGAGGGTAACGCCCCCGGAATGTGAATTCTAGTAAGCTTTCCGGATGAATCCAAAGCACAGTAACATTGGCCAAGCAATATCTCAAGTCACCCTAAAGGAAATCATCTTGATCCATTTAGAAAATAGCTATTGCCCAAGCTATGTGGCTCAGCCACACTGCAAGCTCCAGATTGTTGGCAGAGCACCAGCCACTACACATCTGTTGGGGAGATGGAAGAGGTGAAGCTTGTTCTGAGTGTGTGTTCGTGAAGTGGGGGAAGCGTTACAGGGCTAATCACAGCCCCAAAGCCCACCGTCCATCTGAAATGCCCCTATGCATTCCCATCCTTCCTGAGTAGGGGCTTCTCCACCCCGGTGTGCCTTTCCTGAGCTACTGCTACCAACCCCTACATCCAATCGAACACTCCCACTACTCTGTCCTCTTCTCAATGAGCATTTATGTCATTTCTCTCGCCCTCAACAAGATCTCAAACACTTGTGCACAAAGACCATGTCTTAGGTTCCTTTGATTCCCATGGCCCTTTAGAGGCAGAACGGGCTGGTATCAGACTCAGAAGCCTGGATTCCCATGTGACTCTCCCTTGAGGAGTAGTACAAGCTCCCCTAACCTCATTCCCCCTCTGTAAAATGGGGAGGAGATTGCACCCACTTTATTGGGTGGACAGTCAGCGTCAGGCCCAGCACTGAGGAGGGCTCAGTAAAAGGGAGCCAATGTCACCTGCCCATGGCAGCCTTCCAGTAAATAGATCAAATTTCTTTCTGAGTTAGTGATCTCCTTGTCCCTGTGGTTCAAGCAAAGGCTTGTCAACCCGTCATGAGACTTCATGAACAGGAGTCTCCACTTAGTTAACAAAGGAAGATGACAGGTTAAGAAGCATCAGGACCCACCTTCCTACTTAAACAGAAATTATACTGGCAGAATCTTTCCAATGGAACTATTTTGGAACTCCAAAGTCTACTGAAGTCTTGGCAAATTCCAAGGGAGTCTTGGATGGTAAATTGTGGTTAACTTCAGTAAATTTCACTTCTTAGCTCTGCAATTCCAACCCACCCCTCATCTAAGTCTGATGGCAGGCACCTGTGTATGTGTTCCTGGAGTGACTGGTACACAAACTTTGAGTGCCAGGATAGGCCATAAGGACCTGGTCCTTCAGATATCAGAGCTGTGTCCTGAGCACTGATCGCTGCTTCTAATCGCAGAGATGCAGAGGCAGTAAGGGGTAGCCATTGTCTCCGAGGACCAGCTGCATTATGCTTGCACTGTCTTCTCTAAGGGGAATCTACAATGCTGATAACATGGTCTACCTAGCCATCTTTCCCAGTCAAGTCTTTTAAAGTCCATTCTACTCTCAGGACCCCTCTGGAAGTCATGTCCATTAGCCCACTCTCAGGACCCCTCGGGAAGCATATGACAGTAAATATCCCAGATATCCAAAATATGGTGAGCCTGGTCTCAAGTGCTACTATGGCGTGGCCAGAACCTGCCTGCCATTCCCACAGAATAGCAATTTCAGTTACTGTCAAAGGCCACAAGAAGCCATAAATTGCCACAAGATGGCAGCAGAGAACATATGTAATCTATTTCCCAGAAAAGGACAAAGCCTGGCCTTGGAGCTATAAGGGTTCTTGTTTACTCTTAGAGAATTAAATCAACTGCAAACAGGTACCATAGTGCTGATGGGCCATTTCAGTCTCCTTGGCATACAGATGGAGGCTCATCCTTAGAGTCCATCCAGAGAGCGGCGGGATTAATACACACAGTGCAACATGGATTGAGGTACCAATACTAGCCTTATAGTACTTACAGGTTCAAACAGCCACATTGTTATGATCAGCCTCATCTTGGTTTGCACCTTCCCGTGGGCATCCACATCAGGCACAAAAAGTGTGTCCTCAATCAATGGCTTTCCAGAACTCACAATTCCACAGATGGGTGTCTTTAATATACATGTCTTTCTTAACCACGAGCTAGGTTGCTAGACAGCGCCAAGAAGAGATAATAAAGGCATGCCTGGTACTTAAGAGTACTGTCAACAGAAAGGGAAGTGGCTTTCAATTTAGCCCATCAGTGGATGGGCTACCACAGGAGGCCTTACAGAGTTGAAACTGGCTCTAGAGGGCTGCTGCCACGCGGTAGACACATCCCCTTATAGCTGGATGAGCCTTCAGTAAACCAGCTCCAGGCATCCTCAGGCCTTCCTGGGAGCCATCTCCAGGCAGCACAAGGCTCCTGTGTAAGTCATCAAGGAAGATACAAGGGATTCCTAGAGATGAGGCACTACCTCCTTGTGTGAAGAGCATCTGTCTATGGGACCTGACTTGTTGTTCTGGAATGTTCCATTTCCATTTTGTATGAGAAATCTGTTCGCCTTCCCAGTATCTGAGGGGGCAATGCAGGATGGGAACACCTGGACACAGTGATGTCTGGCAGCCCTCCCTAAAGCCACTCGCTCTCCACAGGTGCCCAATAGTAGGCCAGCAGCAGAGCTTCAAGTGCAGCACAGCAGGGGGCCACATGGGCAGGAAGTCAGAGCCCCAAGAAGTGACTCTGGACAGAGGCGCCTCCACTGCCAGAGGGGCCACTCGACACACTTCCCATCGTCAGAATCCTGGATTCCACCCAGGTCCTTGGGCTTTACAGGGCCTGAGGGAGGTGGCCTGTGGGCTGCCTTTAACACACCTGCCACCCAGGTCCCCGGGCAAACTTGGGCAGATTCTGTGATCCATTTGTACACAGGGCTCAACCTCAACAAAATCCCTGGATGAGGCACATATTGGCCCCCAACCCCAAACAGTCTGAGTAAATCTGGGCTTCCCACTTGGCTTCTGAGGTCTGTAGGGGGAGTAACTTTTCCTTTCCTGCCTCGGGACTCGATCTTCAAGTCTCAGTCCACAGTCTTCCCAAGACTGACTGGAGGCTGGTCTCTCAGGACTCTGCTCCTGAGTGGCAGCCACCTGCTCTTCCTGGG